ATGGCGCTGCTGGGTGATCGGCGGGCCCTGGAGGCGATGAGTGGCCCTGCGGGCAGGTGGGGTGGGGGCGGAGCAGGGGTGGGGCAGGGGGTGGGACAGGGGTGGGGCCAGTTTTTGGGCACTCGGTCTCTAAAAAGTTCGCCATCACTGGGATAAAGTGTTTGTTTTTTTAATCTGTATCCCTTCTTGCCTGTTGTCTTTTTAGAATCAAACCTCTTTCTGATGTCCTGGATGACCTATACAAGGAATTTAATGCCCTCAAGGAACACCTTGGAGAACTGACTAAACGCTTTGAGGGGGTGGAATCTTTTGTAGATGAGATGAACAAAAGACAGAACCTGTCTCCTGCTAAGCCTTTCATCAGGGCTGCCCAACTAGGAGAGAAAAAGGCTGCCCTCTTGCCAGCCAAACGCCGCAGAGTCCTGATCCGGAATGGGAGGTGGATCACGAAGCCCTTGACTGAGGGAAGGCAATAAGTGCTCCAGCTGGTGTTGGACCTTCACTACAATACATCCCTCTGTCTGCCTGTCTTTTCCCCTAAAAAAAATTCCTATGAAGGCTTAAGTGTGAAAGACTCAGATAAAAGGTATTAAATAGAATTTTTTCTTGGCTGATAATCTGGAGACACAATTCCCAACATATTTTTGGAATAAACACCAAGGAACAGTTCCTTGGTAAAATGGTTTTATTAAATACATGTTGCCTTAAGAGTAGACGAAGACCCTGTAGTTGTTTTAAGTTATGCACAACTTAACTTAATTACAGATGGAATCACACTGTAAAAACAGATTTAGCACACAGTTTGTATCACATTCTCCAGTTCTTAAAGATCTTAGGAATGGTTCTAGCTTCTTTACATAGTTTTTACATGCTATTTGCACACTGAGTAATAGTACATGATAATTATGATAGCCCAGCAAAGTGCTAGGGAGTATTTGTTACTTTCCATGATTGTAGACTATATTACAATCTACACCATCCATCTTTGGAAGTAGAAATGTCACATCCCATGCAAATATATACATCCTTCTGTTTGCACTGCTATTAGTTATGCCCATTGAAGCATTCCATGTATGACTCCAGAAATACTTTATGAATAAGCAGAGCTATTTTACGTTTGTTACAGGTGGCAGTCAATAAAGATTTGTTTATGGATGCAGCATTAAGGAAAGTACTAATTTTCTACAGAGGTTCCAATTTAACTCTGTGGATGAGTGTGTGCATGGACTAGTTATGAGACAAGTCTCTTCCTATTTATTCAACAGTCAGAAAATACCCACCGCTTGTCTGCATATTTAACTAAAAAGGTTTCCCTGTCAGTTGTGTCCGACTCTAGGGCGCACTGCTCTTCTCCGTTTCTTGGCTGAGGGAGCCAGCATTGTGCGAAGACATATTTCCACAGTCATGCAGTCAGCATGGCTATACACCAAAGGCACACAAAATGCTGTTACCCTCCCACCAAAGTGTACCTATTAATCTACTTACACTTGCATGCTTCCAAACTGCTAGGTAGGCATAATTAACTAAGAGAAAATATATTGCTCATAGGTCTAGGATTGCAAGATGAGAAATCAATCATAATTGAATTACAGGCTCCTATACCCAAAATTGCTTTATAAAATGGGTATCCTGGGCTCTAATGACAGCCACATGGTCTAAAATTCTCGGTCCATGTAAACATTTTCATAAAAAGCTTCATTTCCTGAAAGTGAATCCCTGCAAATTGAGTTAGACAATTGGCTCCTTTGGCTGTAATTTACTAATGAGCTTCCTTATTCCTTGAATGACCCCTTTTAAAAACCCACTACTGTAGTCAAATCAGATGCCACAAAAGCTGAGTGCATTTTTAAGCACAAAGGATCCAAATTCTTCTCCATTAATTGCTTTACATGCCAAAGCTGGTTTTGGGCAATGAGAAAAGTCAGGCCTAATTTCCACATATCTAAATATAAACAGATTAGGAACAATTGCATATTATGTAATCTTTCTGATTCTCCCTAGGAGCTGACAGACTATTCTGGCTTGATGTTATGTATGGCTGGTAAGCATATGCCTTGAGGGCTGTATCTTGGCTACCAGGCCTTTGCACAGGCTCTAATGTTTTAGCAATGGAAAAACACTGAAAACTACGTTGATTTTTTTAATCAGCCTAATGGTTTGATTCTTTCCAGACTTCTCTTTTCAAGCACTAGGGACACAGATTTAGCACATCCATCAACATTCACATCATGCTCAATGAAGCTGAATTTTTAGTGTGTTTAAGAAGGTAATGGGACTGAAACCTAGATTGTAGCTAAGTTAAGCATGGGTGGCATAAGGCCTAAAAAAATCAGGTCACCTCTCTACAAATAAGCTACTGAAAAAACTGTCAAGAGTTAAGTTTTGCTATGTGACAAATGTGGAAAAAGCTGCATGAGTTTTATCTTACTTGCTTTGAACTATGCTTGTCAATAAAAACTCTGCAAAGTAATTCATTCTCCCTCCTCTTGCAACTTATTGAATTATTATGAGGTAAGATGGACAGCCAAGTAATTAATTAGTTAAATAAATAAATAAATCTTATGCACCTAGTTTAATGTTCAGCAGGATTTAATAAATTGTATTTAATGTAGTAAAAAGAACATACAACATGTTTGACAAAAAACACGAAAGTCTACATATTGTAAGCTATAGCTTTTGGAAGGCTAAATTGCATTGACTCATTCATATACACCCACAGACATAAAGCATTTAATGTCTGTGCCAGAAATATTTTAAAGAAGCTAAGCATTTGAGACTGACATTCTTGATTCTGCATTTTTAAATGTGTATTTTTTCAAAGCATAATTTTTCAATGTACAAATAAATTCACACTGTAAATTAATCTACGGTAGTCGTTATTTTGCTATGGATCCTAATAACCAAAATGAAGTCCTTGCCTCATCTTTATACAAATGTATTCATATTGCTAACATTTTATTTATTAAAACTATAGAGCACACATCTCACTGTCACACAACTCTGGGTGGTTAATAACATGATAAAGCAATATTATAAAACATTAAAACCATAAATGTAAACATTAACAGAAAATTAGCTAAGATGGGGGGGAAATATAAAATGGGATGAAGGTGGGATCTTTGATTTAATTTGCTAATCCTACCTCCAGAATGGCACGCCCACATCTGGACCCCGGGACAATCAGGAGAGCCAGGTTTTAAGCCGCTTTTGGAAGGCCAAGAGGGTGGTGGCATATCTCACCTCGAGGGGTACGATGTTTCAGATGACAGGAGCCACAGCAGAAAAGGCTCTTCTGCACCCCACTAGCTGGAATTCCTTGGCCTTCTGCCAGCCTGAGAGGAGCCAGCCAATCCCACGGGGGTGAGATGTTTCCTCTGGTTACATCAACAAAATGTATTAAAACAAACTATTGAGGCTTTTCCAAGCCTTACTTCAATCTAATACTTTCTGGGACTATTAAGTCCCATATTATGGCTACTCATTAAATTTAATGCACTGCAAAAGCACAGAACTATCCTTCAAATTTGTGTTTATTAGAATGCCATTCATGAGTCTTTCTGAAAAATTTCTAGCAGCTATAAACTATTCTATGTCATTGTATGCATTTTTACTTCAGATATGTACACATTTAAATAAAACCACTTGTAGGCTCTATCTCTGAACTTTGTTATTATATCTTTTGATTTTCACAGTTGCATAAGCCGCTATCTCTACAAACTCCCAAAGTCAGGATTTGTTATACATATAATCAAACTTTGCAGTTTTCTAGAAAATAGATTTAAATCAATTTTAGTTTGTGAATCAGAATCAAGCTTATGAAATTAAAAAAAAACCCACTAAGGCATAATAAAGGCAAATGGGGGTTAAATAGATAAGAGGAAATAAACAGTGTTAACTTCAGTTGCTGGAATTTGGTTTGAAGGATGAAACAAATCATTTAATTAAGTGACAGTTCCTTTACCAGTCTCATTATGGTATTTTGGAAGGATAACTATCATTGCAATCAACACTGCCATCTACTGCCTCAGCTGCACTATGAACTTTTTTTTTTTTTTACACTGGCATGCGTACACACCACTGTTGCTTGTAAATGCAAATACCAGATGATTGCCACTTTCTCATTCTAGCTTTGAAATGTGGGGTTGGATCTGAACAATTATTACAAAGCTTTAATAGAACAAAAAGCTGTGGAATCAACAGCGAGCAACATCTTGTTAAATATAGTACTCACCACATAATGCTCAGCCTACATGAACCTTTGGTTGGCTGGGCACAGAACCAATGATTATTTTTTGTACTGCTATTCCAATTTTTAGTGTGGGAGAAAAATATAGCTGACTTGGTTGGAGGGCTGTTTTTTTCCTGACTATACTTATTTCCATTAATTTATTTAAAGTCACAACAATCCTATAAGGTAGACTTAAGAAACTAGTTTAAAGACAACTTATGAACTCACGATTCAAGTATTTGAGCAGATAAATTGATAGCAATAACAACATAATTTAGGATTATATACCATTTCATAATGCTTTACAGCATTCTATGGACAGTTTACAGAGTCAGCCTTTGGCCCCCAACAATCTAAGTCCTCATTTTACCAACCTCGGAAGGATGGAAGGCTGAGTCACCCTTGAGCCCCATGAAGATTTAACTCCAGGTTGGGGGCAGAGTTAGTCTGCAATACAGGTAGTTCTCAACTTACAACCACAATTGAGCTCAAAATTTCTGTTGCTAGGCAAGACAATCATTAAGTGAGTTTTGCCTCATTTCATGACCTTGCCAAAGTTAAGTGAATCACTGCAGTTGTTAAGCTAGTAACAGAGTTGTTAAGTGATTCTGTTTTCTCCATTGACTTTGTTTGTCAGAAGGTTGCAAAAGGTGATCACATGACCCCAGGACACTGCAACTGTCATAAATATGAGTCAGTTGCCAAGCATCTGAACTTTAATCACATGACCACAAGGCTGTTGCAGCAGTTGTGTGAAAAATGGTGATAATTCATTTTTTCAGTGCCATTGTAACTTTGAAAAATCACTAAATGAGCTATTGTAAGTTGAGGACTACCCGTACGGCATTCTAACCACTGCACCACCACAATTCCTTGCACAGTTCCAAACATGGATGACTGGGATTCCTCTTGGAGTCCAAAGCTGCTTGCTTTTTCTCTATACATCTGATTTCTCTTAACACAGGGTAGTGTTAAGAGTCCCACAAAACCCAGGCATTCTCAGCATATTCAGTCAGGAACCACTCTCAGAGTTCCCATATTAAAGACACCTTTGAATCAAGCTACAGTATTCCATTTGTTTCTATGGATGCATCCATGCAGCCTCCTTGCCATTTATGCACATATATTTTTCACTTCTCAGTCTAACCCTCTGATTTCCTGGTGGTCTCCCATCCAAGCGGAGATCAGACCCGACGCTGTCTGGCTTCCCAGCAAAGGCAAGATCAACCAAGAGCTTCCCGGCATACCCGGAGGACCCCAGTCCAGCCAAGAATGTTTGAGCCACTCTTTTTGCAGTGTTCCCTTCTTCTCCCACCAGTGAAAACCACACACGCTTTCTAAGCTTTCCTCCTTCAAATATAAATGCAAGACCCCGCATCCGCCATGCATTGGCTCTGCGCGTCCCTCTTTGAAGCCCGGCCCCACCGCCGAGCATCCTCTCCTTTGGGTTCCCTGACATTCGTTTATTCCCCAGCAAGCCGCTCCCGTACCAGGACTCGCTCTTCTTATCGCCATGGCAACAGCGAACCGCACGAGCAGCGGGAAAAGGCGCGCAGAGTTCGCCCTCCCTCCCTTTACGGCGCGTCGTAAACTGTCTCTGCAGCCGCTTGCTTCCGCTAGCTCCAGTCGACAGCCGAGCCCGAAAAGAGAGAGAGAGACAGACAGACAGACGGACAGACAGAGAAAGCCGTAAAGCAGCGCCTCTCCCAGCGCTTGGTAACTGGTGGCGTTTCGACCGCTGCCTTGGAGAGGAGGAGGAGGCGGGGTCAGAATGGCAGCTCCGCCCCTTTGGTGTTCTGGCGGGGGGGGGGACGACCATGCCGGTTTAGGGGGGGGGGCGAGACCAGTTGCTTGCTTAGCTCCGCTGATTGCGATTTATGACGATTCTCTTTGCAGTCTCGAGAGTGTATTGCCTTGCCTTGCCTTGTCTAGTGTGAAACGGGTGGGGGGGTGTGTCTTCGGGTTTTATTGTTCTCTTCGTTCCCACCGGGGGCGCCGGGGCTGGGGTAGTATGGCCCGGGTGGGGGGGGGAGCTCGCATGCAAGCTGACTTGCTCCGTTCCCACGTGCTTTCGCAGACAAGGCGGGGTGACACCTGAAGGGCTCTCCGGTTCTGCCTCCACAACTCTCTGATCCCCTTTCCAGGCTAGCAGCGGCAGTCATGGCCCAGGTGGGGCACAGGGTGGATTACCTGGCGGGATTTTGCTGCCCGGTTGGGGGATTGGCAGCCGGGAAGCCCCGCGTGCTGTGCCACGAGAACCAGATCTACCTCTCCAATGGCACCGAGTACGTCTATGTCTACGACCAAGAAGGGCGGCTGATGAAGGTATGTCTGGGCTGGCGTTTGGTCCTGCTAGCCGAGCCCAAGCCTTCTTCTTTCAGCGGCAGGAGCCATGGGGAGATAGAGACGCTGGAAATCAGGTCAGAGGCTGGGAGGCGATTTTAGGGCAATTTGACACTGATGGGGTGGCTGAGGGAGGCAGAGCCTCTAAAGATCATGACAGCAGCATCTCCTTTAAAAGTTTGAAAACACTAGTATCTTAATAATTACTGAATCATAGTTGATCTTTCTTAATCTGGTTTAATATCTCCCATCAGTGTACAGAACAATGCATTGTCTAAGCACTGAAGATAAGTACAGGTGCAATTCATACTGCATCCTTTAGTGCTAGCTTAAAGCTACCTTCCAAGTCTGACAGCTTCCAGATATAATGAAGTACACTTCCACTGCTCTTTACTTAGTGTATGATGGGGATTGTGGTCCAAAGCATCAGAGAATACCAGGATGGATTAAATCCCACTGATATATAACTGCAGCAGGTTGCTGTATCAAGCTGACCTTGATTGATCTCAGAAGCAAAGCAGGCTCATCGCTGGTTAGTATTGGGATGGGAAACCTCTAGGAATTTCTGTAGACTAGACAGGGAACTTCAAAATGTGTTCTGAAAGAATGCATTGGCAAACCATTCCATACTGACAAGAAGGCTACATGGGTATATCCAAAAATCTTTGTAAATTGAGTTTGACCTGGTGGGTAAAATCTCATGCGAAGAGATGCATTCATTTTCATGGTAGCTCTGTTTCCCAGTTTGTAATTTTATCGTGAGTTTTTTTTCAACCCTATAAATGCTAAAAATAAACATGTTCATACAGCACATGAGCATGAAGCGAATTCTATGCATATCTACCTTATGTCACTAATCCTAATTCTAAATACAGCATTTGGACTAAAAAGAGAAAAAGTAGAGCAGCACTGCAACACATAAAAAATAATGATATCCCTAACAGAATGTTGATTTTCTCTGCTCCTTCCCTTGAGGAGACTCAGATAGGAGTAGTAAAGTGCCTTTGATGGCTTTGTTTAGGAGAATTAGTTCAAAGTAATGACAGACAGCAAATTTTTGCACCAGAGGAAACTGGGTAAAGAAAAGCAATAATTACATGCAATGTACTTTCTGGACAGTGGGGGATAACTTGGGCTACAAAATCTGTAATTTGTCATATTTCTGGGAACTAAAGAGTCCAGAACTTCTGTAGGGCACCAGCTTACCTATCCCAGTCATAAAATATATCTGACAGTATGGAATCCATTCAGTGATTGGATTGTGACTAGTTTTTTTTAATTACAAACGAAGGTGAATATACATATCACAGGTATTTTTTTTATTATTCATCATTTTAGGATGCTTTCAAAGCCCATCAGTTTACATTTGCTTGGCTGCTATCGGGGACCAGAAATGCTTTGCAAATAAGTGCTGGAAGTTGTCTTCCTGCATATGAATTTTTAGGAGAAAATTAAACAGCGCAGAAAATGAAGTCTGCCCTTCATAGTTCTGGATCGGAGCAAAGGAGATCTATTGCATTATCTTTGTCCATACAGTTAGTTCCTATGCTACTTCTGACTAAAACTTGATCAGAAATAGCTGAAGCTAGGACACTGTATTTTTCCTTCATCAGTGCTTGAGCTTCTAATCTGTTATTATTTTTTTAAAAAACTAGTTTTTTTACAAGAGTCTCTCCTACGAGCAGAGAACAGTTGAGTAGAATGCACTGCAAACACATAGCTCTCTCTCTCTCTCTCTCTCTCTGTGTGTGTGTGTGTGTGTGTGTGTATGTGTGTGGGAGGTTTAGAATGGCATAGTAGTAGAGAAAGAATCAAAGTGAAATGGGTCCTATATGATTAACCCAGACTGGTTTGATGCTTTGTTTTCTACCCTCCATATCGCATTATTCTAACTGGATTCCAAGATCAGCCCATATTCCCGCTTTCCCTCCTTCCTCATTTATCTGGTATTTTAAAGAAATAATTTGGAAACCACAGCTTCATTTTTGAAAGACTCCTTGGATCATTATTATTTTTTCTATAAAAAAAATTAACAGGCAGAGAGGATATGTGAGATGCAGAGATGTTCTTAACTGTCTACCTCCTTTAGATTTTTCTGTTGATTTTTTAATGATATATTTTTCACCATAGCAACCTTTGGTAGCAAATTGGTTGTTCTTCATAAGTCACTTACGTGTAGCATCCAATTCTTAACATCAGTCTGTGGTGATTCTCCCCCACCCTCCTTAAAACTGTCCTTACAAATCTGCCTTTTGTTTCTAGAGTAGTCTTGTTGAACTATAAAATGAAAGATAGGTTTTCTGATTGCTATATTGTCACAACTGATACATATATAAAATATATTTTTTCCAGATTACCTAGATTTTCCAGTGCTGTTTCCAAGATCTAAACCATACCTTCATATATTAAAGCAATGTTTCTGAACCTCAACAATTTTAAGGTATGTGGACTTTAACTCCCAGAATCCCCAGCCAGTATGTTGGCTGGGGAATTCTGGGAGTTGAAATCGCACACTTTAAAGTTATTGAGGTTAGAAACTCTTTATTAAAGGCATCCCTTTAATTCAAATAATAACAAGCTGAACTTTGCACACTTTCCACTCACACAGAATTATAGGTAATAAATAGTTTAATATGCATATAGATTATTCATTTCTCACATAAATAATAAAAATACAGACTTTGCAAGGCTTTTTCATGCATAGATGATACTCGATACTCTGTGCTTATAATGCTGTTGCAGCTTTGACTGCAGACAGATGTGTGTGTTGGCTGCTGCTTGTTCTCTCCTTGCTGAAATGAAAGCCCCCATCTTGGATATAATGTTCCACATGTTCAATGACATATCAGCCAATGACAATGGCTTAAAAGGAACAATGACGTGCAAAATAACATCCTCAGATAAAGAAACAAAGCAGATAAGATTTACTTTAAGCTTCCCTCTAGTTGAGAATATACAGAAAATGGCTTCAGATTAGATGTCCTGAGGTGTCTCAAATGATACATACTCACAGGATCCTGGGTCTGATTCTGCACAAGGCAGTAACTTATTTGGTTTTAGTAGATTTCTATCCGTAGATTATCCATCCAATTGTCAATGGCTGTTAGTTTGTCAAGGTAGTCCAGACAAGAGGCAGAAGCAGGAGTAATAGCTCTCTACTTTTATTGTAAGATTATGTTAATGGATCCTTGCAAGTCTGAAAATATTTCTCCCCTCCTCTCATTTTAACTCTCCAGACCTCCCAAAAACAGGGAGTAGCTGCTGGTTTCTCCAGCCACAAGCACAGGCCAATTTCATAGGGTGTTGCAGTTCTGCCAGTAACCTGTTGCCAAGTGTGAAGGTCTTTGTAGATTAACGTCTGCACTGCTCAGCCAATGAGCAACCAAAGCGGAGCCTGCACTACAGGGCTTACGGGCTCCAGTGATGTCTGCTGGTGAGCATTTGGTCTGCTGTATTCTCTACCAACTGAAGCTTCCAGATGGTTGCTAAAGGCAGCCCTGTGCATTGCGGTAGTTGAGACAGGCGGTGATAGAGCTTGTTGTGGCTTTTGGAGAGACAGATTTTCAACTTCCCCCTTGTTTTGGTTTTCACTTTTTCCCAGATGAAGCTTGTGGCATCTGGGGGTGCAAGATTACCAGCTTTCTACTGGCATTGTGTTCTTGCTTTTGACAACAGTGCCGTGAGGGGGGGGGTAAATTGAGGTGTAATTTCTCCCATTTAACTTAGAGGTGGAGAAGTCTTCACCTACTCAATGTTATTTTACTAATCAAGAAGCAATACCGAGCACCAAGAAGCAGTACCAATACCAATAGCAATTGAAAAAAAAGATAAATTCTATGGTATAAGGCTCTATCTCCTATAACAGTGGTGGCGAACCTATGGCACGGGTGCCAGAGGCGGCACTCAGAGCCCTCTCTGTGGGCACGCACGCCGTCACCCCAGTCCTAAGCCTTCAGCTGGTTTTATAAAACCTTTTCACTTTAGGCCTCCGCCGCCATGTGCAAAAAAAAAAAAAAAAGGTTCAATCAATCAATTTCAACTTCTTGCGGGAAAAAAAAGATCTTGCAAAGTTGGAATTGATTGATTGAACTTTTTAGTCCCACCCATTCTGCCGTTACCACCGTAGCCACACCCACCCAATGGGCCACACCCACCTGGCACCCGACAATGCATAAATGGGTTTTGGGTTGCAGTTTGGGCACTCGGTCTCTAAAAGGTTCGCCATCACTGTCCTATAATGAAATAAGTGGTAAGCACCAGGGTAAGGTTATAGGTAGACTGCCCTGTTTAGTGACCATTCAAAATTATGATAGTATTGAAAAAGTAACGGTTCTTACATTTACACCTGTCACAGTGTCCCCATGGTCGTCTGATCAAGATTTGGGTATTTTGCAACTGCCTGGTGTTTACCATTCTCACAGCATCCTGCAGTCATGTGATTATCATTTGCACACATCACAGCTGGCTTTTGATGGCAGAATCCATAGAGGTGCCAGCAGTAAAATTGCAAGTCACGGTCATGTGATATCTCACTTAATGACTGGCAGAAGTGAGGGAGTGAGTCCATTGTGGTCATGTGATGTTTTCCTTAACAACCGTGTTGCTTAGCAATTAAACAAGCACTATTTGTAGTTTGATAGTAAATAATGTGCACTTTGGTTTATTTGGAATCGGAGCAGATTTTATTAGGGAAAGTCTTCCCTGCTCATTCTAGGCAGGGCTACTGATGACCAATTGGATGTGTATTTATGTGCCTGGTCTAATGCGAGTCTATAAACCAGAAAATGGGCTGTAAAGATGTCTGCTAATGCATTATTTTACCTGGAGAACTACTGAACGCTTTTTGTGATCCCCTGTCCCATTTTCTTCCTAGGCTGTCTACAGGTTTCCTGATCAAGTCTGGCATGTGGAGCTCTTGCCCCTCCACCATCAGCTGTATATTCTCTGTGCTGGAGTTGGCATTTATTGCGTGTCCTTGGACTATCAAAGCAGGTGAGGGATGAAATGTGATTGCATTAAGTATTTCAAGCTTCATCCCTTGCCTAAAATTCTTGAATTAAAGGCTGGAGTGATCACATAGATTAAAACATAGAACATAAAACAGAGAATGATAGGGTTGGAAGAGGCCTTGGAGGTCTTCTGCTCAAGCAGGAGACCCTATACCAGTGGTTCCCAACCTTTTCTATACCCCGCACCCCTAGAGCACTTCTGATATATTTTTGCACCCCTTACAAACATTTGAAGTAACAGCAACAAATTATGCATATACACTATAATTTTGAAAACCCAAGTTTTCACACCCCCTGGAATATCGTCTTGCACCCTCAGGAGGTGCGAGCACCCCTGGTTGGGAACCCCTGCCCTATACCATTCCAGACAAATGATTGTCCAGTCTTTTCTTGAAAACCTTCAGTGATGGAGCACCCCTAACTTCTGAATGTAACGATAGGATAGGAGATAGGATAAAGGATAGGATAGGATAGGATAGGACAGGACAGGACAGAAGATAGGCTAGGAGATGGATAGGCTAGGACAGGATAGGATAGCTCTGACTTATTGGGCAGATGTGGCCAACAGAACCTTGTTGAGCCTATGGAGGTCTTCTGTCAGTTAATGGGTTGAATTTCTATGACTCATAGAAAGTCTGATTGGGAGCTTTGGGAATGATCTTGTTGTCGATGGCATCTAATTCCCTTAAACTGGTATGGAGGTATGCTTATAATAGGAGATGCGGATGGGGTATGTATGCAAAAGTCGGATTTGAAGTAAGTAAGCGAGAGATAGCAACATGAAGGTACTCTAAGAGGCATCTCTAATGTACCAAGTAGCAGGAGAGAGAACTTAGATTCTTTGGAGAATGCAGAATATTTCCAGAAGGTTGAGAGTCACGGGCAAGAGGAGCAAATTCCTCAGGCAAGGATATTTTAGGTTCGGAGAACAGAAGATTGTTGAAGTTGCAATTCATAGGTGGCAGAGAATATGACATTTTCAAGAAGTACTCACCCATCTCTGTTACTAGTTTCTGGGTCAAAAGCACCTTCCAAACCACCTTCAAGAGCCAAGAAGCACAGTGTAATAAATGCGTCTTGGTATTACAAGATATATGTCACCAACAGCAGCTCTCTATGCAGAAGTTCAGCAAAAACTGAATACGTATCGCAAAAGATCTTTTACACAGTTCTCTGTGTCAGTACTGGATTTAAGAGGATCCTGATTGCAGATGTGTTTTTTTTAATGGGGAATGTGACCTTAAACAAGGTGTGTCACCCAAATCCTGAAGCCTAGACCCCCAACAATGAGCAACAAAATCATCCTGCTCAACATTATACACCCAGTTTTCTAGAAGGCTATCAAAACATGCAATCCTGAGCACTGACTGGAATCTTGGCATTGTGGAAATCAAGGTTTGTCTTTTCCTTCCCCCATCATGCTTGCATGGGCAGCATCTGTTGGGTAGCGTTTAGCCCCAAGATTTAGTGATCATAGTCTAGACCAGTGTTTCTCAACCTTGACAATTTTAAGGCATGTGGACTTCAACTCCCAGAATTCCACAGCCAGCAATGCTGGCTGTGGAATTCTGGGAGTTGAAGTCCACATGCCTTAAAATTGTCAAGGTTGAGAAACACTGGTCTAGACCAGCTTTCTTAAAGGCTGCTCTGAGGACCTCTGGAGGTCAAACCAAGACCCTCTCAGGCTCCGTGAAATCAAAATTATTTGCCAGATATTAAAGTTATTTTCAAAACTTTAAAGCAATGTCACTGTTCTCATTTTTTTATTTGTTAAAGAATAGAGTTTTTTCATGAAAACTTTCATTAATATCTAATATTGTTATTTTTACATGATTCGATAAATATGAACGTGCAGGTTTTAATTTTAATATGGTAAATATTGATAGATATAATCTATAAAAATTATGAGCTCTTTTGGGATTCTCCCTAACTTTTAAACACGGGAAAAGGTCCTAAGGCCAAAAAGTTTAAGAAACCCTTTTCTAGATAACAGATTTCCTGATGGTTTGCTGGAAACTGCGGTTGGCACCTTCAGAGGCAGGATAATCATTCAAAACTTCTGGCGAAACATCAGGAAATCGGTTGTCAAGACCGTGATAATTAAACCTTGAAACTCATCACCTTCCTGAGGTTGCCTTTCCTTATCTAGCAAAACTGTTAATACCATCACGCAACACGTGCAAATAGCAGCTTCACACCTTGTGCTTTTTAATGTGGGAGACTGAATGCAAGGGGAGCATTCAAATCTCTCTGCCAGCCTTATTGACCCAGATAGAGCTTTTCCTCTAATGTAGCCTGCAGGAAGCCCTGTTCTTGGCTCTCGCATCTAAATTGTCCCTTGTGTGTGTTTGTGTGTTTCTGCCATTCTTTTGCCATTCTTTTCCAGGTTCTAAGCAGCTTAAAAAGAATTCTTAGATAAAGTAAAAAAATTAAGGGGCTGGAACTTCCCTCCAGAGGTGTTGTTCTGTCTGTCTTAATCCAGCTCTCCCCATTCCTGAATTCAGCGAAGCGAAGCGGATGCTAAACCTTCTGATTTGCCAGTGCTATTTCTGAGTTTTCTCCCTTTGGCTACTCTGAGAGGATTTTCTTGTTTGCTTTGAAGGTTAGCGAAGCAGACGGATGGCGAGGAAAGCGACTTCTTTTCCAGCATCTTCCCCATGGACTGTGATGCTTGCGATCTCCCTGATGCCACACTTTGCACCTTCACACTGCTCAATGATGTCTTGATCACCCTTTCCCAAGTCCAAGAGAAGTGGTGCATGAATCTCCACAAACTCCCAGGCCCTGAGGGCCAGGAGAAATTGCCACATCAGCCAGTCAGCCATGTGGATATCACCACCAGCACAAGCAACGATGGCGATATGTCTTTAGCCCACTTCCTCCCAGTGCTGTGCTGTGCATCTGCGCCTGGCGCCAGTGACCATTGGGAGGGACTTCGCCATTCTGGGGGGTTCGTGCTGGAGGAGCCCCTCTTCAGCCTCCTTTTTGGCATAGATGCTGCCATGCTGGATTCTCCCATGATCCTCTGTGGCTTCCCCGATGGGCAGTTGTGTTCTGTGCCTTTGAAGGCCCTGCGCTCCCCTGGGGGCCACGGCTGGGAAGACTCGCCTGTCAAGATCCTTCACCATCTGGAGGAGCCGGTGGTCTTCATTGGGGCCCTGAGGACTGAACGGAAATCCCCAGGTGTGGAGGAGCCTCCAGGCTATGGAGGCTTAGGTTGTGACTGTGTTGTGGCTTTGGGACACTATGGTAAAATGGTGGCCATCAAGGCCTCTCAAGGAGAAGAAGTCAAAGTCCCAGAGCTCCGGGAGTATTATCTACAAGGACCAGTTCTGTGTGCAGCCTGCAGCGGGGGAAGCTGCATGTACTACAGCACCCATTCTGACATCTATGCGGTTGACTTGGAGAGCAGCACACCTGAGGCTGAAAAAGTGGAGCCTTCAGCAGGGACCCTTCCTTCAGCTGTGTCTCCTGCCAGCTTGAGTATCTGCAGTGTGGTGGCGCTTTCCTTATCCTCCCGGGAGTCAGAAGGTATTAGACCATTAGAAGAGGTGTATGGTTTGGAATGGTAGAGTAATCCTTGACACGAGACTCTTGTCTGGATGCATCCTATTGAACCTATCAGTACAGGAAGTCCTCGACTTACAACCGGTCACATAGCAACCATTCAAATTTATGACCTTCCCTGAAAAATGGAACTTATGACCTGGATTGCAAGTTGCACCTGCCCTACCCTGTGATTATGAGGCAGTGCTTTGGGTGTTCGGCAATATGGATGCCTTTATGGCCATTTGTAGTGTGCAGTCATGTGACCATGCTTTACAATGGTAAAGCATCGTAAAGGGCCAAAACCCAGGTTTTGGCAAAACCATGCCATAGCGAACAAGGAGTTTGCTTGATGCCCACAGTGTTCATTTAACAACCGCAGCATTCACACTTACCACTGCTGTGTTCGTTTCATGACCACTGCAAAAAAAAACAAAAAATTGGGTTGGTCACAAATGGTTTTATGACCGTTACGTCACTGCAAAAAAAACAAAAAATTGGGTTGGTCACAAATGGTTTTATGACCGTTACGATTTACAACTGTAATGAGAAGGCCACAATTATGGTTTTAACTGGAGGACTGCCTGCAGTAAATTATGAAGGGAGAGAAGACACGAGGAAGTAGTGGTGTGGCCAGAATGTATTATGATCCAGTCTCCAGTGCTGATTTAAATTTGCCCCACTTCTTTTGTTAGGAAAGAATTGGTCCATGATAACAGGTAGTCATCAGCCTATGACCGCAACTGAGTCCCAAATTTCCATTGCTGAGCAAGACAGCCATTGAGTTTTGCCCCATTTTATGATCTTGCTTGCCACAGTTGTTAAATGAATCCCTGCAGTTAAGTTAGTAATATGGTTGTTAGGTGGCTGTGAAAAGTGTGAAAAACATGTCACTTTTTTCAGGGCCATTGTAACTTCAAATACTAAACGAATGGTTATAAGTCGAGGCCTATCCGAATTACCTCAGAACAAGTAGGGATCAATTCCAGATAAGTTCAAGAGAAGATTTTCTTTAACGCTGACCTTTCCTCATGGTTCTTAGGCCCAAAATGGCCTTGAGAGAGCCTTTTGCCCCTAGGTTGCCAGAGCAGCAACTAAGTGTTTTGCTGCATCGGGCTTGTGAGGTAGCCACATCAAAGAAGAAAGTTGTGTGTGCCTGTGTTCCAACCTATGTCAAAAATCCCTGAGATGCAGACCTTAGTCAGAAGACAGATTCCTGGTCGATCCATCCTTCAGCTTGTATTGCTGAGTGACCTTGGCAGTCTTTTTAAGATTTTGTCCAAGATTGGGCAATGTTTGTGTCCAAGGCTGCCTTCAGCAGCTTCCACAGCAAAATGCAGTGGCACCAAAGTGAGGTCTTCTGGGCAATAAGGTCATCACGCAAATGTTGCCATTCTGTAATTATGTTCCGATGTCTGACACAGTAGATAAATTGCAGCAGTGGAGAGAAGTTATCAGTACCAATGTGTGGTCATTTACCCCCCCCCCCGATACTCATTTGGTGATAGCTATAGCTCTTGATCATATAAAGTAGGTGATTACAGGTAGTCCTCGACTTACAACCACAATGGAATCCAGAATTTGCATTGTGAAGCAGGACAGTTGTTAAGAGAGCAGTGCCCCATTGGACAGCCTTTTTTGCCACAGTAGTTAAACGAATCACTGCAGTTATGAGGTGAATTATATTGTTGTTAAGTGAATCCCCATTGACTTCGCTTGTTGGAAGCCAGCTGGGAAGTTTACAAATGGTGATTACATAACTGGGACAGTGCAGTTGTCATAAATACATTAGTTGCCAAGTGATCAAATTTTGATCATGTGACAATGGGGGAATGCTGCAATGGTCATAAGGGACATAAATCACGTTTTTCAGTGCCGTAACTTTGAATGGTCACAGTGCAAATGGTTGTAAGTCGAAGACTACCTTTATGTTGTTTACACAAATAAGATTCTCCAGTTTTTCCTCTTCTTAGAGGGGTAGAAGTTCTCAAAGTTTTCTCTTTTTTCCTTTTTAATGATGATAACACTCTTCCAGGTCTTAGAGATAGAGCACGTCCAGCATATTGCCCACGGATGTCAATGTGCCTGTGGACACATTGTTGGCCTTCCTATTCTTCATGAGCTTTTCATTTTTTAATAAACAAATAGGGATTAATGGAAAACTATTTTAGGTTGTTTTTTTTTTTAAGGGAAACTGGCATGCTACAATGTGATGTCATAGGCTCCAACACAATAATTTCCAGGAATGTCTCCAGGCTCCAAAAGGACTTTTTAAAAAATTAAAGTATATGTGGCTATAACCTCTTATCTAGCTGCCCATAAAAATGACAGAAGTAAGTAAGGGATCGTATAGAGTGCAGTCTGCAGGAGGAAGAGCTGGCACACTGGTAAATTGGTGTTTTGTAACCAGTTAGTTCCCCGTGCAGCTATTTTGTGAATGGGCAGGTTGCCCAACTTGCAAGATGTTCTCTAAATTCCAAATCTGCCTGCCCATCATCGACTCAAGGCTTGGCTTCTGTTCTGCTTTTCTGGTGCAGCATTCTACTTCAAAATGGCAGGAAGGCATTCTGTGGTGTTTCAGAAACTCTGATCTGAAGGGCAGCAAAACTGAATTCATAAGTAGATACAGCTCTGAGGTCTTAGATTGCCTAGCTCTAGACCAGCTAAAAAGTTTGTTTGTTTTATATCCCGACTTCATTATTTTTATAAACAACTCAAAGTGCAAACATACTTAATGCTCCTTCCTCCTCCTATTTTCCCCACAACAAACACCCATGAGGTGAATTGGGCTGAGAAAGAGTCACCCAGCTGGTTTTCATGCCTAAGGCCAGACTAGAACTCAACTAAGGCACCTAGTTTCCACTCTGGTGCCTTAATCCAGGGCTTGTCAACCAGTGGTACGGGTACCACCTGTGGTACATTGGCGCCTGGCAAGTGGTACGTGACCATCCTAGAAAAGTAGCGGGGGAGGGGAATGAGCTGAACTGGTGGCAGTACCGCACAAGCCTGAGCAAGAGAGGGCTGGAGCTGCAAAGCTGTCAGGGCTCAGCGGAAGCACCAGGATCAACGCCAGGCTTCAGCTGGAGCTCAGCGCTGATCCTGGTGCTTCTGCTGAGCCCTGAAGAAGCACCAATCAGCTGGAAAGCAGCACTGATCCTGGCGCTTCTGCTGAGCCCAGAAGAAGCGCCGATCAGCTGGAATGTTGCAGCATCTCCAGGGTCTTGTGATTTACATTCAGATGCTTGGCAACTGATTCATATTTATGACGGTCACAGTGTCCAGGGTCATGTGAAATGACCAAAACCTGCTGCAACCACCCAGTAGACGGGGGGGGGGAATAAAAACCAAACACCCCCCACCCCTGCTGCCAATTGTCAGCAGAAATGCTCACAACAATGAAAACCTCGGACAGGAGGAAGGGGGAGGCCGGGTGGGCAGGCAAGTGTCTTGCTCGGCTGTGGCTTGGGGGGCACTTTTTTCAGTGCCATTGTAACTTCGAACAGTCACTAAACGAACTGTTGTAAGTCGAGGACTACCTGTACTTTATCACTTTTTTCCCTTTTTGGGGGGGGTCATCAAGTTTTTGACACCTTGCTAGGCGACTGGTGGTATTTAGATGTTGCCATATCCTAAAAGTGGTACAATGGGTGAAAAGGTTGAAAAGCCGTGCTTTAATCACCAAACCAAACCAATTCTTTGTTCCCTTTCCTCCGCTCTACTCCCTCTCTCCTTGTTTTCTGTAGCTTGTTCATATCATACTTGCTCAATCAGATAGGGATGTCTTGATTTGAGGTGAAGGAGTTCAGCCCTTGCAGCTTTGGGGAAAGGCTGTATGGTCATTATATACTGATGTGATACTTTCTTGATTCAGCCCTTTGCACAGAGAAAAGCTTGAGGCCAGCTTGGATCAACTCAGCCCCTTTAAGAAAACTGCATTTCAAGAGCTCTGCCTCCTTTCAACAAAATGGCTCTGGAATGCTGTAACCTGGGGAGGCTAAGCAGTTCACCCCTTCTTCCTTTCTTGTGCAAAGCAGCTGCATTGTGCTTGCTCACCATGCCAGAGGCATACAGATCCTGTATGCAGGAAACAAGCAAGGCTTGGTGGAGGCCATTTGTCTCCCATTTGAACTCAAAGGAGGGGAAGAGGGGGTGAGGCAGCTGCTCTAGCTACCAACAAGGTTTTAGAAAGCAAATGACTTTGCACTCATCCTTCCCATCACCCAGGTATTTGGAGGTATAGTGGAAAGGCCTTGCCTAAAGGTGTTCCATTGTTTCTGCAAAAAAATGGAAATGTTGTAATCTCTGGCTAAGGAAGAATAAGCAAGAAAACTGGGAGTGTTTTATTTGTGTGGACAAATGGTAGTGGTGGTGAAACAGTTTCTGAAAGCAGCAGGGAGGAGATTTAGAATTGTGCAGCATGTGAGAAGCTGGCTCTCTGGCCTACTATAGGCTTTATTTTTAGTGCTGCTTTAATTTCTGAGCTGTTAATAGACTTTTTCTCCTTCAACCTTCTTTGCATGCTAATGAGATCTAGCAGCAAGTTTTATTTTAAAAGGCTCTTAACATTCAGGAAGTCCAATTCTCCATTCAATCCCAGATCTTGTTTTGGGGGTCAGTTTTTACTGTACCCCTTCTTTTCCCCAGCGGCTCTTTCTTCAATTTCTGAACCCTAATTCCCTAAGGCCTTGCATCTTAGGATGATATTGTTCTATTCGGAAAGGGTCACTGGAAAGTAAAATTAAGGGTTCAACAAAGGTAAGTACAGTATTCTGGACAGGAACATCCCTGGATATACAGTTGCCCGTCAGTTTTCTGCCTGCCCTTTGCCCCATGTTGTTGCCCTCCCCCCAACTTTCAGAATCACTCCACACTGTGATCTTTTGTGGGGAAAGATGCTCTTTCTTTCTCCCTCCCTCTCTAATTTATATCCCGCCTTTATTATTTTTTAAAAAGAAACTCAGTTGGCAAACATATCTAATGCTCCTTCTTCCTTCTGTTTTCCACACAACAACAATCTTGTGAGGTAGTCTGGATTGAAAAAGAGTGTCTGGCCCAAGGTCACGCAGTTGGCTTTCATGCCTAAAGCTGGAATTAAAGTTACAGTTTCCCAGTTTCTATATGAAGTACTGGCCTCTGGAAAGGGCAAGGTGCCTGCCTGGTAGCAAAAAGCTGGGATCTTGCTTTTGAGTAAGAAATAGTGAGGAAAGAAGAAGAAGAAACTGCCGCCATCTTTTTCTTCTGCTGCCTTTTCTTTGGTCAGTCTTGAGCCTGCTGCCTTTCTTTTTCATTCTCGAAGCCCAGTGGTGGCGAACCTATGGCACGGGTGCCAGAGGTGGCACTCAGAGTCCTCTCTGTGGGCACGTGCGCCGTCACCCCAGTCCTAGGCCTTCAGCTGGGTTTTATAAAACCTTTTCGTTTTAGGCCTCTGCCGCCATGTGCAAAAAAAAAAAAAGGGTTCAATCAATCAATTTCAACTTCTTGCGGAAAAAAAAAAAGATCTTGCAAAGTTGGAATTGATTGATTGAACTTTTTAGTCCCACCCAGTCTGCCGTTACTACCGCAGCCACGCGCACCCAATGGGCCACACTCACCCAATTGGCCACACCCAGCCAATGGGCCACACCCACCCGGCACCCGATGATGCATAAGTGGATTTTGGGTTGCAGTTTGGGCACTCGGTCTCTAAAAGGTTCGCCATCACTGCTCTAAGCCTCTCCTGGGCCACCGATTTTCTCTACCCCCTGGAGGGAGGGGGGAGAATCTACAATGGCTTTGTTCCCAGCATGAGTGTGGCAGCAACTGAAGTTACCTTCTGTGCACAGAAATTGCTCTTAGCTTTTCCAGGACAGGTGGAGAGATGGTCTCTTTTTGCAGTTCTTCCTGCAGGCTGAGGAGAAGAGTTATCCATAGCTTAATACTCAGGCAGCCCAAATTCAGGCTGGATGTACAAACAAACCAATGTGCCACTGCCCCTATACTTACAACATAGCCACACTTTTTATTTCCCATTACCTTTTTAATTCTCCTGTGGTCTTCTTTGCTCCTGTTCGACTTCCTCCCGCCAATGCAAAATATTTTCTATCCTCAGTCTCCTTTCCAACTTATTTTTTATCTTTTTCCTGTATAGGTGGGCACATTTCCAGATAAAACAGTGTGCTGCAGCCACCTGCCGTTTAATTGTAATAAATGTGGTTTGGAGTTGTGGTTTAATTGGCAACGTGCCTGCTTCTCTTCTCTCTTTTGTAAAAAGGAAAGATTCGTTTGAATATCTGGTGTGACAGGGATATTGAGGGGCATGTGCACAGGCAGAGACAATGGTACTACTGCAGTTGTTTGTTCCATCATGAAAGCTCTCTTGCAAATGCTGGTTAGATTGCCCATCTCTTCCCTCTCTAGGGTCCTGTAACTACAACTCCAGAATTCCAAGCTAGCTTATTTGTTCCAGAGCTTTTATAGTCAGATGGTTCTAGGATAGTGTTTTTCAGACTTGGCAATTTTAAATGTGTGGACTTCAACTCCCAGAATTCCTCAGCCAGCATGTTTGCCTGTTTGGAAAAGCTGAAGAAATTTTTTTTTTGTTCGAATATGAACAGTACATATCCCTCAGGGTTTGAACATTTATTTACAAGTAGTTCTTGACTTACAACCACAACTGAGCTCAGAATTCCTCTTGCTAAGTGAGACAGCCGTTGAGTTTTGCCCCGTTCTACGACCTTTCTTGCTACCCTTTGTTAAGTGAATCACTGTAGTTCTTAAGTTAGTTACACAGTTGTTAGGTGAATCTGGCCTCCCCATTCACTGTGCTTGTCAGAGGATCGCAAAAGGTGACCACATGACCCTAGGACACGGCAACCGTCATAAATATCCAATTTTGACCATGAGGATGCTGCAATAGTCGTAAGTGTGAAAAATGGTCATAAATCACTTTGCAAGGCCATTGTAACTTCTAACGGTCACTAAATATATGGTTGTAAGATGAGGATTATTTGTATTTATCCTACCTTTATTACTTTATAAGTAACTCAGGGCATATATAATACTCCATCCTCTTATTTTTCCCACAACCACCACCCTATGAAGTAGGCTGGGCTGAGAGAGAGTGACTGGCCCAAGGTCATGCAGCAGGCTTTCCTGCCTAAGGCGGAACTAGAACTTCTAGTCTCCTGGTTTCTAGGCTAGCGCCTTAACCACTACACTAGATTACAAGGAGTACACAGGTTTTAAAAGCAGGTTTGGCCTTTGCGTGACATTTATTTATTAAATTTCTATGTCACCCGTCTCCCCTACAAAGTGACGCTTGTAAGGGAGATGTGAGAGATTCTGTTCCAAAAGGTAGTAGGTGGATCAGGACAAAAACTGAAACTGACATGATTTACTTTTGAATTAATTTAAAATTAAATTTTATACAATTATCCTTCAGTGAGTAATCATTTTCTCCTCCAGTGACACTAAACATGGTCATATGGGAGCCATTTTGGAGGTCTTTGGTGAAGGGTCTTTAGGGCTGTATGTAACCTTCACACTTCCAAGTTCTGTGTCTCTCATCTGTTGCGGGGGAGGCAGATTGAAATCTTCCCCATGGTGTTAACTCTCTCCTCTGCTTGTCTCCTCTTCTACCTTGCCACCATGCTCAGGAGAATCTGAACTTCTGGCTCTCTCCGCCAAAGGCCGTCTCATGACATGTGGCTTGTGCAGCCCAGATGATACACAGCCACTCAAGATGAACGCTGACAAAGCTGGGCAGAGGATCAAAGAGCTATTGTCTGGGATAGGCCATGTCTCCGAAAGGTAAGAGCTGAACTCTCTATGAATAGCATCCCTACATATAGAGTACAAATTTGGCATTTTTATGTGGGTGGCTTGGGAAGCATTTGCTAATGCTACCTGGATTGTCCTGCCTGAGCAGCTTTTTCTTGCACAAGGATTTGATGCTAAACTCTGCAGTGGGATGGAAGGGCGAGCCGCGGCATGATCTGTCAATGGGCAAGGCAGGAGACATGGCAGTAGTGGCTTGATGGGTGAAGTTGACAGCTATGCAGGAGATGCTGTTTGAGGTGGCAGTGGAACCAGAAGAAGCGAAGGAATAAGGGCTCCTAGAAGAGCAGTACATGCTTTGCAGCTCACATTGGAAGCTCTCCTCGAGAACTGGCCTGCAGGCTTCGGCGAGGAAGGGAGGTGAGCCCAGTGCCAATGTAGCCTACTTGCAGGCCCTCTGGTCACTTGGCTGAGCCTTCATACAAAGCCACGCAAAGGGCCAGCAGTTTCCAACATGTTCTGACATACAGGCTTTTCCATTGCTTATCTGTCTTTTGCATATGGATTTCTTAGGCAGTTTTTGCCATCAGTATTATTCAGTGTTTCTTTCTCTTCTGATACCTGCAGAGTGTCCTCCCTAAAAAAAGCCGTGGATCAAAAAAATCAAGCTTTGACCTGCCTGAACCAAGTGATGAACGTGAGCGCAGCTTTGCTGTCAAGCCAGAATGGTCCGAAGCCCATCACGTGCACCATCGCGGCCCACTGGAGCCATATGCTGGTTCAGGACACCTTGACAATCTCCTGCATCTTGGAAAACTCAAGTGAATGCAGCCTGGAGCGTGGCTGGACCTTCTGTGTCCAGCTATTTGCCAACTCCTGTGATTTTGAGGAAACCACTTCAGATTCTGCCACCACTTATACCTTCCCTATAGATCAGCTTCTTCCAGGGAACAAGACAGAGGTGACCCTTCCAGTCTGCCCTGCCGAAGGCTCCAAACTAAACCTGCCTTTCACGGTCTCCTGCTCACTCTACTACAGTTTGCAGGAGATCTTAGGCACTGTTTCTGAGTCCACTGAGCTTCTGGATGACCTCTTTTCAGACGATTCCCCTGGCCTTGCTCTGGACAGAGAAGGCATCTGCCTGCCCTTGAGGGAAGACATCATTGATCTCCTGCAGTGCCTTCGCTTGAATGACAACAAAGGAATGTCTGAAGCTAGCCCACCCGCTGTGGCCATTTCTGTCCCTGGGGATCCAGTTGAAACCTTCTTGAAATCTCTCAAGAGCATGGAAGAGAATGATGAGCTTGTCCCAAAGGGACGGAGTGTCATTGATGAAAATTACTTGGCTCCAACTGTAGCTTCAATCAAAGTATCCTCTGAACTGCTGAGAACGTCCTTGAAGGACTTCTGTGCAGGTGCGTTGTTACCTGTGAATACTTTTTAAACGTCCTGTCTTTTGTCCTCTCCTTGCCCTTCATTAGGTTTAGCGCCTCCAAGGCCCACCTGCATTGATAGCTCCCATGGTCGGTTTGCCCTGAAAAGAACAATGTCTTTTATTTGTAAGACAGCTGTTGTGAGAGGCTTGGGAGGTCTCGCTTGTCAGTGGACCGGTTAATCATGTTCTTGGCCAAGTTATGTGGTGATATAACTTTGTTTTGTTTTTTTTCACACATACAGCACAATTCTAAAAGAAAGGTTGGGGCTCTGTGGCTCTGCAGATGTTGCTACACAACCGGCCAATATGGCAGTGACGAGGGATACTGGGAATCGCAGTTCTGTAACATCTGCAAGGTCCAGGTTTCCCACCGCTGCCCTCCAGAATCCTTTTCAGAATCAGCAAATGTCAAACTAATAGACTGAAAGCCAGCAATAGCCATCTTTGGGTCTTAATGAGTTTTCCACCATCAAAAAGCCTGCAAATGACTCCCCAACCCTTTGGGTTAGCAAGGAGCAATGTTGCAGCCAAACCAGTGACAGAAGTTGGATCACCTTCCTCTTGGCAATTAAAAATAATGCAAGTAGTGCACTGTGTCCATGAGCAAATGCACATTTACGGCTAATCCTGAGAATTAATTTCAGCCCAGACTAGAGTGGATACTTTGCCCAAGGCAAGCAATAAATAATAAGGATACTCAAATTCTTATGTTTATATGAAGTTGGGTATAAATTTGCACAATTTTTCTCAACACGGTAGTTAGTGTTGCAGGAAGGAAGATGTCGAGATTTGGAATATCTTGCAAGGATTGCAAGCAGTGATAGACTGGGACTGCAGACATTTCCTTTGTCCATCTCACTAGAACAGAGAGCTAACAAACCTATCAGTAGTCTAGGTTTTTAGATCTGTGTGTTTAAACATATATAAAAATTTGGAGACTGCCCATCTCACTCATAGATAATGGGGGGGCTACAATTAAAACATAAAATTATTATGTATCTTTTTCTAAAAAGTCCACTGGGATTCTTTTACTTATACCACTGTTTCTCAACCTTGACAATTTTAAGGCATGTGGACTTCAACTCCCAGCAATGCTGGCTGTGGAATTCTGGGAGTTGAAGTCCACATACCTTAAAATTGTCAAGATTGAGAAACCCTGATTTATACCATTGTGACCTCAGATTCCTAAAGTGGGCCCTCACATTCAACAGGATATTAGACAATCAGCTAAGCTAACATCTTTATTATGAAGTTACATATGTCCTAGGCTTATATCTATGAAGCTTCTCAGTCATCCAGGTCTGTTGTCGGTTGTTAGTTGTCCCAAAGGTGCTTTTTTCAAAAGGCAACTGGACTTTGTATTTCCTTGAAGGCGTTTCACTTCTTATCCAAGAAGCTTCTTCAGTTCTGACTGAAGGGTGGAGGATGGAAGGATTCGTATTCCTTGTAGTCATCTGGTCATTAGCACTCTTTCCAAGAATGGAACACCCATTTGCACTATTCAAGTGACCCTGAGGGCACAGCTAAACCTCCAAGTGGCCTCAACGACTCTCAGAAAGAGTGCTAACCCTTTGAATGCAAGGAATACAAATCCTTCCATCTTCCACCATTCAGTCAGAACTAAAGAAGCTTCTTGGATAAGAAGCAAAATGTCTTCAAGGAAAAACAAAGTGCAGTTGGCTTTTGAAAAACGCATCCTAGACTTATACACTCTAAGTATGTTTCAAAAGCCAGTGGGAGAATCGGGGAAATGTCAGTCAGGGATCCCCCAGGGATCCTCATGCTTTTCAGGTAACAAAGATTGCCCTTCTTCCCTTCTTTTGTTTTCTGTGCTTAGACGTGTCACTGTGCTGCGCTGTGCTGCGATGGCTGCTGGCTGAAAATGGCGAAGCAGATGCCCTTCGGAGCCAGGAGGTGGCAGTCATGCAAGGGTTGGCCCCAGATGGAGGCAAAGTGCAGCTGAACATCGGAGAGGCAAGGCAGGAGTTGTAATTGGGCCGTGAAACTTTGACTTTGGGTTTTGCTGATTAAGATAGGCTTGTTGTTATAGAAACGGCTAATTAGATTTAGGTACCACCAGATTCCACACTGACTCTGGGCCGCTGTCAGTATAACAAAAGAAGATAAAAGCACAATATCAAATAGATAATTGAAATGAGATCTTCAGTATAAACACATGTAGAAAACATAGCCAATAAACCGTAGAGCACAACCAGGTCTTCTAGAATTGCTTCAGGGTGGAAACCACACAGATCTCAGAGGTTCTGACAGAATGAAGAATGGTGATGGGTTCTCCTTCATGGATATATTGATGAGGAAACTTCACAGTCATCTCCCAGGGATGCTTTAATTTGGATTCCTACATTAGCTAGGGAATTTGACTCATGGCTTAAGTGGGCTGCCCAAAATCTATGATTCCAGGAAGATGGAAAGTAGTCAGGCTTGACGTTAATCTCCCACCATGGGTGGAAACAATTAATCATCGTTAATTGTTAATGTTGGGTCTTATTGCTATGAATTGCTGGCTGTGTACTCCAACTATAGCTGGTTAATTCTTACAAGAGAGAGTTAGGCCAGCTAAGCCTGGACGATGACCAGATTCTTCTGGATTGGCATACGTAAGTATAATACCATTGTGTTTAGTGCGGTTCCTCCTGCCCCAGCTGAGGGAAGATACATTTCATTGGAGGACAATCAAGCTGTCTCATTTCATTTGACTGCAAGGGTTCTTCTCCCAAAAATTAAACTGACCCCCTTGGAAGAGCAGGACATGTATGTGCAAAACATGTGTCCTAAATATTAGAATAATATTAATATATTCAGAAATGGGAGGAGGATATGAATCTGATACTACCTTGAGGTTCTGGGAATTATCAGGGTAAAACAGATTCTGTCCAGCTGGAGGGGAAATATTGAAGGCAGTAGATTTCTTCAATAGGCCCAGGAAGGATTTTGATTTTTTGTTTAGGAACTTCTTGTATGTGAGAAGGAATTTTGGCTTAATTCTGTCTAGAACAGTGGTTCTCAACCTTTTTTAATGCCGCGACCCTCAACTGGTCGTAAGTCGAGGACTACTCAACCAGTCGTAAGTTGAGGACTACTCAACTGGTGCAGCACCGTTTGCAGAATGGGACTTTTGGCGGGCTCAGCAGGGCAGAGACAGCCTGGACAATTCCTATTGGCTTTTGAAAGCCAATAGAATTAGACTCTATTCAAGAGAGTCTATTCTATTGGCTTTCAAAAGCCAATAGAATAAAAGGGAGTAGCACAGCTAAGGAAAAGGGGGAAAAAATGGCGGACTGCGTTGTTTGGCGACCCCCGTGAAATGGTTGTTCGACCCCAAATGGGTCCCAACCCACAGGTTGAGAACCACTGGTCTAGAAGGCCTGCATTTCACTTCAGCTTTTCTCCACTATAAAAGTGTGTTACTTTTTGTGTTAGCCATATTCTTATTCTTGAACTAGAATCTGAATCTGGTGCTCTGAGTTGTATGCGTGATCGATCCTGGTTAGGGCACGGTCTTCCCATCCCAGTTTTAATTGAGTGAAGATTTGAACTATTTTCTCTTCAGTAGTTTGAATATATTGGAGCATGCAGATTTTTCAAAGTTGCTAAAGAAATAGAGACAATGGCACTGCAGCTGTATTCATCGGGCCAGTTTTTTTCCACCTAGACGGTGGGTTGTACGTAAAGCTTGAAATACAAGTAGCCCTCGACTTACAATCACAATTAAGCCCCAAATTTCTGTTGCTAAGAGAGACAATTGCTAAGTGAATGTTGCCCCATTTTACAACCTTTCTTCCCACAGTTGCTAAGTGAATCACCGCAGTTGTTAAGTTAGTAACACCGTTGTTAAGTGAATCTGGCTTCCTCATTGACTTTGCTTGTCAGAAAGTCACGAAAGGGGATCACATGATCCCCGGGGACACTGCGGCCATCATATATATGAATCAGTTGCCAAGCGTCACGTGACCATGGGGATGCTACAATGGTTGTAAGTGCGAAAAACAGTCGTAAGTCACTTTTTTCAGTGTCGTTGTAATTTCAGATATTCATCAAACCAGGGGTAGGCAACCTTGGCTCTTTTCTGACTTGTGGACTTCAACTCCCAGAATTCCTGAGCCAGCATGGCTCAGCTTGGAAACCTCTCCCTTTCCCCTCAGCATGGCTGGGTCAGGAATTCTGGGAGTTGAAGTCCACGAGTCAGAAAAGAGCCAAGGTTGCCTACCCCTGCCTAAATGAACTGTGTCGAGGACTACCCATATAAAATTTCCATTCTAAATTTTGCTACCGGTCAAACCGCATGCTAACAGGCTGAAGCACAATGTTGCCTTTTCGGTGAACTGGAAAACAATGTCGCCTTTTCGGTGAACTGGAGTCCCTTGACTCTCCTTTCACTCCAGTGACGTGCTCTCCAAGCTTTCTACCTTAGCTTAAATTGGGGGCATAAATCATATAAATAAGTAAATTTGGGAAAAGGGATATTGTGCTTCCAGATGAAATAGCTCAGAACGTGGAAGAAAGGAAAAAAAAATGTACATAATAGTTAACATCCTTCAAATGCTGTTCGGCCTTCAGCGTTCTTACATAAGATGCAACCCTGTTCTCCTCCTCTCTTTTTTTCCTCTCTGAGTGTCAGCGGTGTGGAACAGAGACTACTTACCCCTGCAACATGAAAGGCTTAAAAAAAAAAAAAAGATGATTGACACTTTCTTACTTTGCTTTCTCAGTTTCGCCGCTCGGTGAAACTGGTGGCAGTGACATTCTTGTTTTTCCCCCCCAGGTGACAGTCAGTGACCTGAGCCCAGCAGGTCCTATCCAAGCTGTGGAGATTGTCATCCAGGGGTCTCCACTGGCAAACATGTGTCAGCTGCATCATGCTGTGGTTCGGCGCATTCAGGTATGTGCTGTGGCAGAGGGAAGGAAGGCGGGATGTTTGCCTATCATATCCCGACAACTTTGGTTGCACAAACAAGAGAAGAGATTTAGGTTGAAATGCAGCAAGAGTGGGTCTGCATGGTATTTTCCTGTTGCCCCGCCCAAAATTCTGGGCTGATCTATGGAACAGTCTTGTAGCCACACAGACTTCCTCTCCCTTAAGAAAGGGAATGAATATTCCATTGTCCTCATGCTAAGAAGCAAAGGCTGTTGAGGGCTTTCTCCCATCGTCCGCCCAGAGTTACCTTGCGGAGGAGATGGCAGCACAAAAAATCAAACAAATTTTGAAAATCGTGTCGGTTGTCAAGGGAACAAAAGTAGGTCTGTTATTTTTATGTAGGCCTCTATACCGCTGTGATTGCGTTGTGGGTTCTTAATGTGAAATATACTCCTCTTTACAAATCCTGCCTTTTGGGAATGATAACGAAAATATATACTTTGACGCATCATTTGGGTTTCCTTAAGACTTCGTAGGTGGGAGGTGGGAACGACAGTATATCCTAAAGCGAAGGAGAGTAGGAAACCCAGAGGTGTTGGGCCCAATCCTTTAGGACAAGGGTCTCCAACTTTTCTGGGTTTTGCGGCCTGGTGGGAGAGGGAGGGGCAGGCGCCTTACACTCGCATGAGCAAACACATGCACACAAACAGGCTGCAAGCATGCGCACCACACAAATGGCTGCGAGCATGCGCACGAGGCTCTCAGCGATGACAACGCCTGTGTGAGGTTTGTGGTGTCGTCACTGTCAGACTCGCGGCAATGCCACCACCAGCATGATTGTGCCACCGTCCTGCGCTAGACTCACACCATGGCCCGCCTGATTGCCTCTTGCGCAAGGTTCGTGGCAATGCCGCCACCTGCATGTGGCACGCCGCCGCCCACCTGCCACTCACAGTGCTCCCGCCTACTAGTGGCGCTGCTGCTGTCCACACAACACTTGTGGCAACGTTGGCACAAGGGGGCGGGTCAGCAGGCACACACACGCGCATGCACTGCCCAGCTACTCATATGGTCCGGTAGTGGGCTGCGGCCCATAGGTTGGGGACCTCTGCTTTAGGAGTTTGTTAGGCCATCATCACTTCACATTTGAAAAGCACAGGGGGTCAGATTTGATGACCTAGTCGGATTTCTCACCTTGCCCTGACATTTATTTTCTTGATTTCATTCATTTATACACTCTGCTCGATAATCAATGAGTAATAACAGAATGAATAAATAACAGTTAGGATCAATAGTATTATAGCATTACAACATCAAAACAGCGAACTAAAAATGCTTAAATATACATAAAAGACGAATGGTGTCAGAAGTAAAGCAGGGCTACTGGGAAGAAAGATAGAAAAGAAGGCTATGTTTCAATTTTTTTCTCAAAGCATGACAAAGAAGAAGCCAGCTGGACCAATTTAGGGAGGAAATTCCAGGGTGTTGACAACACCACCAAGGACTGTAGATGCTTTCCCTATTTAATTCAAGGCAGGGTTCCTTTTGGGGTAACACACAAACAAGGCCCTTGTCTGCAGAGTATAGAGCCTGGGTGGGACCATATGGAAGAAACCATTGCTTCAAACAGGAGGGGTTTAATCAGTCCTTTGTCTTTTGATTAACACAGACTCTGATTTTGGAACAAGCTGCCCAGGAGTCTTCTCCCCCGGATGTCCGAGTGCAGTATCTCCACCAGATCCAAGCCAACCATGAGGTAAGCAGCTACCCAGACTCAAGGCACCGGAGGAATCACGTGTGCATTGCACACTTGTTTCCAGCTGGCTGTGGGAGAACTTCAACTACCTGCCTTTGGCTGAGCTCTGTAATTTCAGAACACAGGCCGTCCTTGTTTAACAACTGCTACTGGGCCTGAAATTTCTGTCACTGAGCAAAGCAATCTTAGGTGAAACCTCATATGATCCTACTGCTTAGCGATGGCAGTTCCAGTAGTCCTGGTTGTTAAGCAAGGACCATGCAGTCATTAGTAGAGGGCCTCACACTTTTCCTGCCCTCCTGGTTCACCTCTACTTCAACTCCCCTATCTATCTATCTATCTATCTGTCTGTCTGTCTGTCTGTCTATCCATCTATCATCTATCTATCTATCTATCTATCTATCTATCTATCTATCTATCTATCTATCTATCTATCTATCTATCTATCTATCTACCTACCTACCTACCTACCTACCTACCTACCTACCTACCTATCTCACCTCCATCTCTGCCCTTTCGACGAGGCACTGGAGGAAGAAGATCAGAGGGAAGGGCAGCAGGGTAGGTGGCAATGGCGGAGTGCAGGGCAGCCAAAAGAGCAGAGATTGGGGGGACAGGAAATAAGAAAGTGTGGAGAGTTGAAGTGCATACTGAGGTGGTAAATGTGGGCAGGCTGCCAAATGTCTGAATTTTGATCATGTGATTGTGGGGAGAGGGAGATTATGACAGCTATAAATTCAAGGACTGGGTGTAACTACCATTTGTTCATTTGTTCAATTTCATCTTAACTTTGAATGATTGCTAAATGAATGGTCAATAAGCAAGGACTTCCACAGTTGTTTTTAGCCACTCCATTGAACTTGGAGAGGCTGAACCATCCTAGTTTCAGAATCTGTCTTGACAGAAGCAATGGGAGAATGAGTTTACGGATTATTCCGTAGTTGTTGTCTGCCTCACCCAATCTGGAATCATCTGTGTTCGTTCTATTTATGTGTTCCATAATTTGATTAGTGATACCATTCTTTCCTTCCCTGCCTTAGCCCAGAGCTAAAAGCAGACATTCATATAAAGTATCCTCTGTGATTTCACAATGGAACCTTTTATGCAACTGAGGATTTCACTGAGGATTGAGTTTTGTCTTGTAACTTTTCTCCCTGTCCCCAATCGTGGAAATGCACATTGCCCAACCTGGTTTTATATAGAGCAAGTGAATAGCCCTGCTCCCTCAGGACAAGGTGCATATTAATCCAGCACTATGTTTCCCACAGCAGCCAGTAAGATACCTCTGGAATGCTCACAGGCATGAGACAGAGATACAATGATATCCTGCCATTTCATATAGGCATAATACCATTTTTATCTATGTGCAAGCTCAAAAGATTTACATCTTGCTAAAGGTCGTCATTTAGAGGTAGTCCTTGATTTATGACTATGATTCAGACTGGGGACCTCTCCCCCATCACTAAATGAGGAGGTCATTACATGACTCACACCCAATTTTACAACCTTTTTGCTGTGGTCATTAAGCAAATCACATGGTCATTAAGCAAACCCAGATTCTTGCATTGACTTTGGTTGTCAGAAGATGATTGTGAAGGTTGAAAGGGTGAGGGTGCTGCAGCCATTGTAAATACATGCTGGTTGTCAAGTGCCTGAATTTTGAGTGCGAGGACTGCTCATAAATCACTTTTTCCACTGCTGCCATAACTTCACATGGTCACTAAATGAATCGGTTGTAAGTTGGGAACTACTTGTAATTTGTCCTCACAGCAACAGTAGCTAGATTGATTGGGCTGAGAGACAGCGACTGACTGGATTAAAATTCCTCTGCAGTTGATGTTTTGAGGCCTGCTTTCCCCACTATCTACTCTTCGGAATCCGATGGCCGCAGAGCTGTCCTCTGATCAATTTATCTTCTCTTGTTACAAACTGCCAGTCAGCGAACCTCACCACACCTTGTAATAGATTTCACAAATTAATTATGTGAATAACACATTCATTCTGAGCCACCTGTGTGTAGCCACCGAGTTAATTTCTGTCCAGGCCATAGAATTTTAGCAGCAGATTTTAGAATCTGAATGTTCTCAGCTTAAACATATTCTTAACTGTTTTACTATAAATAAATTAATATTTTTTCCAGAAAAGCTGGAGGGAGAGGAAGAGAAATCCAGAAAATAACATCCTCCCCCAGTATAAAATGATAAGGGGGACAATTTGAAACCTCACCACCACAGTGGCCAAGGATCCCCATCAAGACACCTCTGTTATAGTTTGCCTACTCTCCTGCTTTGTCCAACTGGAGGGTTTTTTGCCTTCTGTTTGGGAGAGATCCTTTCAGCCAGAACGCTCCAGAAAAAAAATAGAAAAAAAGTACTTTGGATCTTCCTGTACGAAGACCAGAAGCCCTGACTGTAACGAATCCAGAATCACAGAATAGCTGCAGGACACCGCCGTCTTGTGCAGGGAGAAAGATTTAATGGGAAATCCCCTGATTTGAATTCAATACGTAGATATAGTCCCTGCTTAATGGTCACAATTGGAAGTCACAGTGACTCCATCACTAAGCATTGATGTTATTAAGGGAGACATCACGTGACCACGATTTTTATTTTTATTGCTGGCCTCTCCATTGACTCTGCTTGTGGGAAGCCAGCCGTGAAGCGCTTGAATGTGATCACATCACAAGATGATTTGACAATTGTGTGACTGAGGACCAATCATATTTTTTAAGCACCGTCGTAATTTTTAATGGTCACTAAATGGGGCAGATGTTAAGTGAGGACCATCTGTATTATGTATCAGTCTATATCGCCAGATTCTAGGTAGTGTATACAAAACATAAAAGCAACCCATATAAGAAAACAGTATGATCCTCCCCTCCCATACAGAAGACACTAGTACTCTCCCACCAAAACCTATAAAAGTAGAAAAGGTGGCAGACCAGTCACCTGCTGGAAATTGTTTTCACAGCTTTGCAAAATATTAGCCCCAAATGGGCCAGTTCTACCTTTGGAGGTGGCATGTTGCAGAATGAGCAGGATATATCAGGAAAGACCCTGTGGTGGGGCTGCCAGACATTGAGCGAGCCCTCATTAGATGACAGGACAAGCAGGAACATCTTGGAGACCACAGTCCCCGTTGAGCGTAGACAAAGGTCATAGGTTTTATAGGTAGCTAATAGAATGCCTGAAGGATAGGAACTGCATTGTAGTTCCAAGGTGTCTTCAAAGGCAGCCCCAAATAAAGTACATTGCAGAAGTCTGGCTACGTGGGGAGGAGGGCTTCGAAAGCATGTTCTTTAGTTGGGCATGAGCCTGCCTGCAAAGGCAACCATTTTGGGTTGGCTTGTTGATCAATTACTGTTCTAATTAAGGAGAGAAGCAACCTAGAACTAAGGAGAAATTTCCCGACAATTACTTAGAACAATTAATTGGTGGAAGGATTTGCCTCCAGAAGTTGTGGGTGCTCCAACGCTGGAGGTTTTTAAGACGAGATTGGACAACCATTTGTCAGAAATGAGCAGAGGGGGTTGGGCTACAAGACCTCCAAGAGACCCTTTCAACTCTGTTATTCTGTTCTGTTAGATGCTGCTAAAGGAAGCCCGGTCCCTCCGGGATAACTTGTGTCTGGGGAATGATTTGGATGCAACGGTGGAGAAACTTCTTCATATTTACCAGCAGCTACGCAACCCCAACCTGGTGGTCCTGTGATTGTCAAGGAGCGGCACCCATTGGAGGATCCCACTGCCGCCTCTACCCAGAGCTGATGGATGAAGGGAGCAGCAGCAGGCTGTGCACTTTCCGGAAGGGAGGCTGAAGCAGAGGCATGGCAGAGGAGGGGTGGAGGATCCCAACGGGCAGACCCTGGCTCCTCTGGAAATTGAAGGATCAGGGGCCAAGCTTTCTCCTGCAATCCCCAGTCCTCTTCCCTTTGAACACAACTAGCTCCCCCGCCCTCCCTCCCTCCTAGGGTCCATATTTTTGCCCGCCCCTGGAACAGGCACCTGGTTGCATTGTGACGCTCACACGCAGGCAGGTGGCCCGCTCCTTGTGTGCACGTGTGTGCAGAGATGCCCAGGTGCATGTATGTAATTTGGATGGCTAGTAAGACGCTCTCGTGGCTGGGAATGGTGTGTTGTGGATTACCCTCAATGTCTCGTTAGTTTAGCTTTTCTCGCTTTTGGTGGCACTTAAATGTCGCTGTGGCAGGCAAGTCTGGTGAGTTGTCGGTGGGGAAGGGAGGGAGAGATTTTGTTGGAAACGCGATGCCTTTTGGTTCATTCCGAGCAGCAGCAGCCGCCGCCACCACCACCACCAAAGGGCTATGCTTCTAGCTATGTCACATTTTTCAGAAAACACTGGAAAAACAGGCTGTCACATGACATAGGTAACTCAGGGGGTGCTCTTAGTACGGCATCCCTTTTTGTAACGGGACATTTTGCTCCTTTTTCCAATATGTTTCCTTTCTATAAACTACTTGCTTGTCAATTTCCAAGGCAGAGACTCCTGCCGAGTTGTGTATATGTGTGTGTGTTCTAACCCTTCTTTGCTACCGGAGGGACTCATATCGATGGGAAAACGTCCAGCATTTTGTCAAGCTGTTAACTCCTGGAATAGCCCTCCCTTGCTGGGAAGTCCAGTCGCCCTCTCCTCCTCTCCCCTCCTCCTGGCAGCCCCTTGGCAGCTTGGGGGCTTTGCCTGCTGTCTCCCTGCTCAGCTAATGCAGCATCTGTTTTAAAAGCTGCCACCTCCTGATGAATAATTGAAAAGCCACACCACCGGCACTCACTGGCCGGCACTAAAGGCCATTAGGAAACACGCCATTGCTCAGGGGTGAAGGCTGCCAGTGCACTTTCCTCTTGTCCAATCTGGAATAATTGATGTCATGGCTGCCCTCTGCCCTCCGCAAGAGAATCCTCACCTTGAATCCTGGGGCTCTTTCGAGGCAGATGGGGGCTGCCCTCCCCTCCTCATGTGGCCCTTCCCCTTGTAGTTACCAGGTCAGCCTGAAAATTTTAAAGAGGGAGAGAGAGCTGCTACTATCCACAGATGGGGGAGGGGGGAGATGCCTGCTTTGTGCTTAGGGGCTGTCTACAGCCCTGTTTCTTGACTCTTTGGATGCCCCTCGCCTGACCTTTCTTTCCCCAATAGAGGCCAGGGTTGGGCTGTCCAAAGAGCAGCAGCTGAAGCTTCCTATAGGGAGCCCCATTTTTTACGGAAGCGGCACTTTCCCCCTGCTTACCTAGCCGTGTCAGGCTCCATAAATACACTCACACACATCTGTGTAATTAACCTTCCAAAAGGAAGGTTAAGTGAACCTTTGCTGTTCAAGGCTTGGGAATAGATACTGAGCGAGAGGGGGGAGACGCCACTGTTTCCCCAACCTGCCTTTTCTAATTTCTCTTAATATATTGGAATTCAGTGGGAGGCTGCTGCTCCTCATTCACCTGAACCCGTATAATCATGGAGTGTTTCACCAGGGGCACTTGCCGAGGGGGGGGGGGAAGAGGAGCAGGCAGGTCAGCTGAGTCTGAGTGGGAAAAGCAGGGAATCAAATAAGAGAACGATCCCAGCCCCACTCTTTGGAAAAGTTCAGGTTTCAGTTACTGACAGTGCTTATGTGGGCTGCGATTCCCTGCTCCAGTGTCCTCGCCTCCTGCTCAGCAAGTTCTGAGTGGAAGAATTGACAGGTCTGGGTCTATGAGTCTCCTCAGCCTCCCTGCAATGCTAGCCTAATTGGACGCCAGCCAACCACCGTTCAGCGCTGAGCACATACAGTGAAAGCCCAGAGCCCAGCCCCCAGCTCCATGAGGAGCAGGAATAGTTTTACAGACCATCTCTGCTTGGAGAAATCATATCTGGTGGAGTAATGAGGCTGGAGAACCTCGTGGCTGCTCGGAGGAGGAGGAGGTGGCTACTTCCAGGGCCTGGCTGGGATTATTTTGCTCAAGTCCAGATGAATCAAGTCTCCAGACTGCCCATCACAGAATTCATCCTTGCACTCAAAATATAATCTCAGGATCTTGGTCAGAATACGTGACTCCCACCTCGTTTCCTAGAAAGTATCCTATTTGTTTATCTTCAAGAGTGTCAGCCACACTTTTGCCAAACTGAGCTCCGATTTATCCCATATCCTCACTATACACATACCTTTAGGGTGATAAATTTGTAGAGCAGATGCATTTGAGTTTTCTCATTACGAATTGTGTATAATTTCTCTGCAAATCGCTGGGCTGGTCCTGCATCAGGAATAGCCTGGTAGAAATATTGGGATAGTAGTTGCACTACCTTCTTGCCGTCAGCAGAGGTCAATGTGCCATTAACTCTGGGTTGCTTGGAGGGGTTTTTCTGAAGTCCATGGAGGCTGAAGTTGAGTAATGCCATTTTGGCTTTAAGCTGAGAGGTCCTTAGCCAAGTGAGCCACAAGATCCAGTATATTCCTTGTGTAATTTTCAGGAATACATCTCGTGTTGATCATCCCAGGATCCGGTGACTTTATGGCAGAGCCTCTTTTGACCCTGCTCTCTTGCCTCAGAGATAGCAACATCATAGCTACCCAAACCATTTAACTGTCTTTTCCTTATTCTAGACTCGCAGGGGTAGTCAACCTTGGCTCTTTTATGACTCGTGGACTTCGAATTCCTGAATTCTGGGAGTTGAAGTCCACAAGTCATAAAACAGCCAAGGTTGACTACCCCTGTATCTAGAGAGCTCTTTCTCCAACATCACACAATCAGCAAATCCGCTGGGACCAGCAGGAGTTTAAAAGCTCACCTGCTGCTCCTTTCCCAAGATCTCCGAGCAATTTTGAAGCTGCCTTCTGTCCAAACGCAATACACTGAGCGCTTTGTTTTTGTGTGTCTGAAAAACTAGCAGTGTGATAGAGCTGTTATTTCCCCTGTGGTACAGATGCATTTCTTTTCTTCTGCTATCTTTTTCCTATGCAGACCAGCACAAAACACATTATGCCTGTTTCCTGACAATGAGAATCTCTTCCAGCTCAAAACAGACTCACAAAAGGTGTTTTTGTTATACTGATGTAGAGTGTCTTTCCATAAGCCACATAAGTGCCTGGGTTTGAAGCACAACCCAAAGGACATACAGATGGGTTCACATGTTGCATTAAACATGACTTATTTCACCATTTTTGGATTAATACTCACTTGACTGGGCTCACAGGACAGTTGTACAATTATATTTCCAAACTGGAATGACGAGATTGATGAAATCTGCGACACTAAAGCTAAGTAACTTCTGCTTGCATATATGCATGTTTCCCCACTAAGGATGGTTTACAAAAATACAATTAAAGCTGACTTTAAATAGTATGGCTCAACGCAGTGACTGAACCTACTTATACACTTATTAAGTCCCAATACTGTCAGCAAGACTTGCTAAGTAGTAAAAACAGAATCTTTTGCAGCAGCTTGGATAACGCCCAAGTGCACTCACATTGGTTGTGGATAACACACAGATCAAACACTGCTCACTGCTGCAGAGATGTCCTGGCTTTCTGATGAATGCCTGCTATGGGTGCATCAATACATCACTTTGGTATTGTTCCCAATGCAATTAGCAGACATGTCTACTGTATGTGGAAACAAACAAGGGTAGGTTTCATAACGACATGAAAGCTTGCAGTTCTTAACAAGTTGTTTAAATCAAATATATCTGTGTCCCTACACGATTTTTCTTCTCTAATTAGCTGGGTCTTTCAAGCTTTCCCACGTATGAAAAATAAGAATGGGCAGAGGCCTAATCCTGCATTAGCTCAGCTGTCATAACTTTTGCCCGAGTTGGCTACTTCTTTTCTTTCATTGAAATTAGCTTCGAGCTTAAACTGGTTGTTCAACTGCCAATCTCCCACAACACGCAGGGACGCATGAGTGTCCATTCTTTCAGCATTTCGAAGCAGATCGCGATTTACGAAGCCGGTCTAGCCCGACGGAAGGCAGAAAGGTGGGCCTCGCAATCGCACACCTTGCAAAGGTCCACGCCAGACAGCGATGCCATTTTCTGGATTGGGGACTCGCTCCGCTGCCCCAGCAGCCATCCGGCCGGCACCCGTGGCGGATACAGGGGCGAGAAAGCGGCCGGGGTCAGGCGCTGCCGCGGTCCCCGGTGAGAGTCGCTCATCCCCTCGGCAGCTCGCCGTAGGTTCAGGAGAGGCGGCCGCCCCTCGCCTTGCATGATTCGACGCTTAGCGACCGGAGCCAAGGCGCTCCTTCCCTATGACTGAAGCGAGGAACGCGCTTTTCCACCCACCGATTGTGCACGCACGCACGCCCATTTACACCCCCAACTTGGCTTTGCCGGGCAGAGGGCAGATTGGGCGCCTGTGTCCCTCGGTCTGTTTACTCGGGGGGAGGCTGTTTTTTTTTTTTTTTTAGGAAAAGGACGCTCTGTTCTTTCTGCCTTTGATGTGATGTGTTCGAGATAAGGGAGATTCGATACTGCATAATTGCTACTCGTGTGCGGTTTCCTAAGATCTGGCTGGTTCTGAGGTCTAAAGTCTGTCGCTCTGTTTGCCTTATATGGCTCTGTCCGAACTTGCCCTGCTTCCTTTCCCTTCAGGGCAGGAAAATTTGCCTTTATAAGGGCCGGAGGGCAGCAGATCGGGTGGTGGCAGGAGGAAGAGGAGGAGGCGATCTCGCCGTCGCCTTCTTTTGCAGCACAAAGGATTTCCGCTTCTCCTTCCGCCTCTTGTACGCGATCACCTGGTAGACCCTCATTTGAATGTCTGCAGCCTCCGCCCACATTCCTCAAGCTGGAGAAGCCTTGCTGCCTTAAACCCTAAATCAGCCAATCACTTTTTTTTCCCTTTCCCCCGACCAACTGCGTGTAACCTTTTTCCAGAAAGATCTGAAGGTTTCCAAAGCCTGCGTGGATTAGCGACCTTTGCGTTGGGCCCAATAAAAACATTGCCCCAATATGACTTTTGAACGAGAGGCAGGAGGACAATGAATTGTTCCATATATTCATTCTCTCTTCCTCCCTTTCTCTCTCTCTCTCTCTCAGAAGTGGCAGCTGCATTCTAAGGCAGGTGGTTTCTTCCTGGCTCCAGGGACCGCTTTGCTTACTTGCCTGAATTATTGTCAGGTACTTGAGAGAGGCCATTTTATTCCCCATGATGGAGCCTGGTTATGGGGCCCTGTGGAAAACTTAAATGGCAGCTCTCGCTGGAGCACACAGCTGCCCTCCAGGCAAATGCTGGCACCGAGACACCACACAGCAGAGCGGTTTTGTTTGTGTGCAAGGCTGCATCCTGCTCTAGCTAATTGTAGTTTAAAACCTGCTACTGTATGTGAGCTCACCCAATATGGCTAATTTGTAGTTCAGACTGCTATGTAGATCGAGAACATTCACTTTACTGAATAACCAATGAGTAAGCTAAATATATCCAGCCTTCATTTAAAGGGGTAAAGTGATTCTTAAACCCCGAGTATATGAGATGCATTGAGTAAACTGCGCCAACTGAATAGTCAAGTTGGGTCAAAGTCCTGGGAAGCACAGAGCTCAAGGCCACGAGCTGTGCTGCCCTTTGTGCTCCAGATCACAGCTCCCTCTATGCCCTGACTTCGTAGTATCTGCGTAACTGCCATGTTTTTTTTCTTCTTCTTCTCTGTATAAACGTGTACGTGCACTGAGGTGACTGGTACAATAAATGCTTTGGCAAGTGTTCAGGAACTCCTTCTTAGGTCAAATTAGAACCAGATCTGGTTGTGATAATAATACCAGCAAAAAAGCATGGATTAGACTGGGTTAAATGTTTACATAGAAGGTTCTGTTGCTTTACATTGTGTAAGCCTGTAAATCAGGTGTGTAAGAAAACCTTCAAACTAGAAACAAGGAATGCCCAGGAATTATACAGATAGTCGTTGCTTATTGACCACTCAATCAGTGACCTTCGCTGTTACCATGGAAATAAAATACCAATTAAAAAATAATAATTGTATGACAAATTTACAACCATAACAACCTTCATAGTATCCTTGTCACAATATTGGCATTATAGGCAGTATGTGCTGTCCTGTATGTGACCTGTATTTTTTTTTTCTTTTATTCCCCTTTGCAAAACAGAGATACCAGAGAGGAAGGGAGTGCAAGACAATAAGCTGTTTTCTCTTCCATACACTGAAAGCAATGTGATCACACTGGTAGCCTGAGGCTGGGAGCCACAAATGTGCTACACAGTTTACAGTACTCTCTTGAAATCTCTCTCTCTCCAATCTCTCTTGGGAAGAGGGACGGGAAATAAAGCAAGGTAGGGTATCTCTCCTAGAGAAGAGATTGGAGAGATTTCAAGAGAGTAAGCTCTCTTGAGCTTACTTGTAGGAGAGAGTGCCTACAAAAAAATCACTTGGTTCTTTTTCTATCCATTCTCCTCACAAAGCGGAGAGATTAGAGAGATTTCAAGAGAGTACTGTAAGCTGTTTCCATAGCTCCCCGCCCCAGCTGTGCCACAATGGCATTGCTTTCTATGTGTACAAAACAGTAAGCAGGCAGTGGAGCATTCCAAAGGACAGGGGAGTGGTTAGGAGGCAAGCGACAGTTGAAGGTGTAAAACTGTTTCCAGCCAGAAAACACAACCATAGTCATTCGGCTTCCCACTTAGCAGCTGCTTTGCTGGCCCCAATTAGGGTTGTTAAGTGTGCACAACCTATATTTATTTTTTTTTAAAAAAATCTATAGGCTGCCTCTTCCACCACATCCACCCTACCACCTTCCATCCACAATATAGAGTACAAGTCTACATGAGACTGAATTAACTACTCTGTTTTATGAGTCTGCTTTTTTTTTTTTTACAAACCTCTGTAGTTTTGTTCATCTTTATTACAGTTTAATTTTTTTGGTTTGGAACAGATGTGTTTTTAATGACTTTATATTGAAGTAAATACTAGTTTCGTTCCCAGATGCAAGTAAACCTTTTGGGCTACAAACCTGAAATACTCATTGATCTAGTATCCATACTGCTGCCTGTTTGTTATCTTTGGATAATGAGAGTCTCTCCATTTCTGGTGGATGGGGGGGGGGAGGAAGTGAGGTGGGGGGAGGAATAGAAAGGCTGCTTCCACAAGAAGATTTCCTGTTTTGCCTGCATCACATAGCAATAGTGTTGCTTTACAATTGCTGTACACTATGGACAGAGAAAGGGAGTGGAAAAAACTGTCAGCATGCTGTGAATTCTGAAACAGCACAAAACTTGCAGCTAAAACTTACTTAGCTTCTTTCTCCTCCTAAAAAAAGGTGTTTGCTTTTTCCAGTGTTATGGAAGCGGATCCATTCCATTAGGTAGGAGAAACTAGTGAAGCCATGTCTGTAAAGATCTCATAGACAATGGTCTTGCATGACAGCTGTTGGAGCAGGAAACTCCATTGAGCCAACATCCTTCCTTTTTGGGTTATTTGCGGAAGGGATGTCAGATATGGAAGGAGAGTGGAGTAGAAGAGAGGCTGCTTCAATAACTGGACTGTCCTGGGCCTTGTGAAAATTTCCTGAAGGGAAACTCTTGACTATAAAATTAATCCTATCTCAGGCAAGAATTTCTCAGCCCCTCCTCATTTTCATATATAAAGATTATCCATCACTAATTTTCCTCCCTTTAAATCAGTGGTTCTCAACCTTTTTAATGCCGCGACCCCCAACCGGTCGTAAGTCAAGGACTACTCAACCGGTCGTAAGTCGAGGACAACTGGTGCAGCACCATTTGCAGAATGGGACTTTTGGCGGGCTCAGCAGGGCAGAGACAGCCTGGACAATTCCTATTGGCTTTTGAAAGCCAATAGAATTAGACTCTATTCAAGAGAGTCTATTCTATTGGCTTTCAAAAGCCAATAGAATAAAAGGGAGTAGTAGCACAGCTAAGGAAAAGGGGAAAAAAATGGCGGACTGCGTTGTTTGGCGACCCCCGTGAAATGGTCGTTCGACCCCAAATGGGGTCCTGAGCCACAGGTTGAGAATTACTGCTTTAAATCTTAGTTGATATTTTGCAAGTCCACCCAAAATTCAATTTACTCCCCTTCTTGTCTTAGCCCAGTATTTTATTTTATTAAAAATCTTACAACAGCTGGACCCCCTCATTCTCCTCCTGCCAGACATTCCTGAGTACATTAGCTTCTAAACTGTATCTCCAGCATCTAGAGTACATTTTATGCATTTATTGCCTTGATTTCATCAGATTTGTATTCCACTTTTTGTAACAGCAGCTCAAGAGGGTAGACATAGTGTGCTCTCCATTTTTCCTCACAAACATCCTTATGATGTTTTGGCTGAGAGAAAAAAAGCCACACACTACCAGCTTCCTTCTGCTTTTGGGCTACAACATCTGAGCCAGGATATTAAATGTGGGAAGGGCTTGATTCAAAAAAGCTGCTCCTAGAAACAAAAGTAATCTGGGAAATAAAGGGTATATTAAGCAAACTGCAAGCCTTGGCTGGAAACAGGCAAGAGCAGAATATAGTAAGGTGACCAACCGTCCTCCTTTAGGGAGGACAGTCTTCCTTTTGTAAGTTCTGTCCTCCCTCAAAAAGTGTCCTCCTTCATGTCCTCCTTTTCAATATTTGAAGACTAATCTGCAGGGCTTTTTTTTCCCTCATAGAATGCTCAGAACGGCGTTCCGGCACCTTTTTTTGATGGTTTTTTTTTTTCAAGTTTTGCATGAGCTGTGCTACTCCCACTATTGGCTTTCAAAAGCCAATAGGAATTGCTGCTGAGCGCGCCAAAACACCCGGCTGGCAAACTTTGCATATGCAAGTTGTCTGTATTATTGTTGCAATGAATAAAATGTTTCTTTTATTTACGATATTTTTTTCTTCAATTTATTTGTGTCTTCCTTTTCATTGTAAAAAAGTTGGTCACCATATAGGAATGTTCTGGGCCTATTGCTACTTAGCTTTAAAGGGGCAGATTTTAAGGGCCAAATAACTACATAGGCTTCATTATGTTGGGAATTGGGAGCACACCTATCCTGTGTCCTCAGTTATTGAATCCAGCTAGAAGGAACTGACTTTCCACATTTGCAAAGAATCCTGAAACTATCCTGTCTCCTCTGTTTTGCATACCCATGTTTTCTGGAATGTAGACATACCTAATCAGATGCCTTGTAAGGCCTGGTACTTCTGAAGGAAAAAAAAAAAAACAAGGATGCCCTAGGAATGCTGGAAGGGAAATACAACCTCTGTAACTTAGTCTGACATAGCACAATAACCTCCTCCTAGGAGCCTTACTAGTGTGTCACTTTTAAACTTAGGCAAGGAAGACCAAAACAAAGCAAAACAAAAGCCCTAGGTTAGGAGTGTCAAACTGCCGGCCCGCAGGCCGGGTGCGTCATGCCAAAACTGTGCCCACCCCATTGCCGGCAATGGAAAAAATATGTCGTGACACGTCAGATGACGTTGCGAGTTTGACACCCCTGCCCTAGGTGAAGAGGTTCCTCTATTCTGATCCACCTTTTTCCTTGCAGGGTATGGAAGTGTAAGGCCCCTTGAGTCCAGGTGCCAGAACTCACCTTCCCCTCATATACCATTCAGTGTCCAGGCTTGGGCACCAGGCTGGGCCCTGGAGCATCTCAAGCCCTGTGGGAGGGGCTCAGTACTCCCAAAATGTTGCACAGTTTAGGGTATCGGCATCAGCCCTCAGGGTTCCAGCTGAGTCTCCTCGTAGGTATTTCCCATTCTTCCCTTTAATGGCCACTCGGCTGCACTCGCGAAACTCAAAGAAGAAGTCCTCAGATGTCTCGCCATCACTGCACACGGTGCCATTGCTAGCCACGTACCAGAACCTGTCACTGAGGCCTAGGAGCACCAAAGAGGCACAAATCACTGGAGGGCGCATACAACGGAGCCACTTGTGCTTATTCATTCTAAACACTTGCTTGGATGTTTCCCTGATAAGCACGTTTCCCTGATAAACACACACAAGTCAGAAGCCATAATGGGCCAGCATGTTCAAACTTTGTAAAGTGATGATTGAAATATGGAAATGAGCACTTGTGCCAGGATGATGAGTTGATTATGAGGGTTCTTTAGAGTGGGGAAAACTCTAAAAGAGACAACATTTGTCCAGTTCGCTCATTCAACAATCAACACAGTCAAGATCACTGTACAAAATTAGAGTGCAGATAGTTCAATCATATGCAAAGACATGTTAGGACAGTGATGGCAAACCTTTTAGAGACCGAGTGCCCAAACTGCAATTGAAAACCCACATGCATCATCGGGTGCCGGGTGGGTGTGGCCCACTGGGTGGGCGTGGCTGTGGTGGTAACGGCAGATTGGATAGGACTAAAAATTTTGATCAATCAATTCCAACTTTGCAAGATCTTTTTTTTCCCGCAAGAAGTTGAAATTGACTGATTGATTGAACCTTTTTTTTGTACATGGCGGCGGAGGCCTAAAACGAAAAGGTTTTATAAAACCCAGCTGAAGACCTAGGACTGGGGTGACGCGCAGGTGCCCACACAGAGGGCTCTGAGTGCCGCCTCTGGCACCCGTGCCATAGGTTCGCCACCACTGTGTTAGGAGAAGAGAAAACAAAAGCCATGTTAAAAAGTAACATGAAGCCCCAGGCTCCCTAATTAAAGCACTGGCATATGCCTCCTTTGCCAGGGCTAGTCCTCCCTTTAAATGTTTTCTAGTTGGACAGCTGCCCATAGCTGGTTATGGTAGAAGAACAAGATAAGAGAACAAGGAATTGCCCATCTCAGGTGGTACCGGGAAGACAGAACACGCAAGACACTCACTTGGTCACCATCTTCCTCAACACAGGGAGATTTGATTCCTACCACCATAATTATTTCCCAATAAGCATCCAGAAAGAAAAATGAACATGTGCAGTTTTGGGTTCTTTTGTGAATCAGTATCTTCTTTTCCTCATTTGGAGTAGAGGGTAGAGATGATGGAACAGTTGGAGCAAGGAGGAAATGTTCTAAACCTATTTCGTGTCTACCAACAGCAGCACAGCAACTAACTATGATAACCCAGAGATAGCTCCATATGGCAAGTCAGATGTGAGGTTCCCTTGTGACTTGGATAACTTTCAATAATTTAATCTATTGTGTGAAATTAGCTGATGGATTCTAAAGATTCTGCATAAGATTGTTCTATATTAATTTTTTAAAATGCTGTGTTGCTCTTAAACTGTCCGTTATAGCTGTTTCCCTTCCAGTTTTAATTTTCTTTCTTCAACAGTCTGTAGCCTTTGAATGATGATCGTATTCAGTTTTTATTAGACCCTTTTCTTAACGTCTATTTCTCCACTTGTATAAACCTTAGAATCCAAGGCAACAATACTTCTTTCTTGTGGATGGTACTACAGATGGTCCTCGACTTACAACCACAATAGGCCCCAAAATTTGTTAAGTCAATTTGTCCCATTTTACAGCTGTTCTTGCCATAGTTAAGTGAACCACTGCAGTTATTAAATTACTAATGTGATTGTTAAGTGAATCTGACTTCCCCATTGACTTTGCTTGTCAGAAGGTTGCAAAAGGAAATCACATGACCCTAGGACACTGCAACTGTCATAAATAGGAGCAAGTTGCCAAATGTCTGAATTTTGATCATATGCCAGTGGGGATGCTGCAGTGGTCATGTGTGAAAAATGGTCACAAATCACTTTTTTCAGTGCTGTTGTAATTTCAAACAATCACTAAACAAATTGTTTTAAGTCAAGGACTACTGTGTTTTGTTTACAGAACATACACTTAAAATATTTAATTAACTATTATTATATAGAATGGGGACGAATTGTAGTAAACAAAATGGATATGTTTGCATATGATTGCATATGGGAACTTCAAAGCATCAACACTAAGCAACCTTTGAGTACGGTATATACTGTACCAGTTTACACTCACATGCAGGAAGTGGCCCACTGTGTTTCGTGTATAGCATTTCCTCTGACATGTGATCCAAATTAATTCACTGTGTGAATGAAGAATGTTCCCCAGCTCCTTCTCTCTTCCAACCACCCATTTTGCAGACAACTAATTACCTTTGATCTGGTAAGCACCATCATTGAAATTGAGGTGGAAGACATCGTAGATGGAACGGTTGGCATCCAACAAATTGGAGTTGCGATGGTAACAAACAAATCCATGGGCCCCACGAAGAACTAGAATGGGTCGGTTGATCAGCTTGATAACAAATTCTTCATCTTTCCCTGTGGCAACAACTGTAACTCAGTGCATTCTGAGGTTAATGAGACTACCATAACCCTGAAGAATTAGGAATCTAAAAATGAATTCAAGGTTGCTCCCTTAGAAATGCCTATTTCTAAGAACTTGTTCATGTAGATATTTGGCAAACAGAAGGGAAGATTTTAAGTAGGGCTATGAAGTTGGGGCTCATTTTATAGTCCTACTTCTACAAGTTCCCTGCGTCTGCCAAAATTCTAGAAATGTTGAAGAATCCCGCTTCTTTCCATGCTTAGGTAATCCAAATATAATAGTCCCTTAATTCTAAGACTAAATAAGGGTTGCTTTAGTATTCTCTTGTTAGCTAAAATTGTTTTCACATACAGGATGTATAATTATTTACCAATATAAAAGCTCAAGAGTGTTCTACAGTCAGCTCAAGAATACAACAATGTCCTCTTGTCAGCCCGCATTGAGCAGATAAGTCTCTTTTGGTTTTCCTTTTCACTTAAACATCTGCTTTGCTAACTATGGCTTCAGAACTGGCTGGCCAGGGTCCACCAACTCAATGGTAAGGTTTCCATAATTGCTAAGCCCATGGTGCTTAACCATGCTTGGTTCATGATGCCACTATTACCCAGATTCACATAACATGTTTAACTCAAAATATTAATATAACAACTTCCTTGGAAACTTCAGTTTACACCAATTCTCTATCTAGCTCTCTGCTATTACACAACAAGACTTTTCAAGATTTATTCCAGCTGTCTCCAGTCTCTCCTGATTTCCATAAGCCCCAAAGCTTATTGCTTGCAGGGGAGAGGGAGAGACAGAGAGACAGATAATGAGAGGGTAGTCCAACATATTTGGAGGGTTCCAGATTTATACTCTTTCTTTTGGTGACTAATTAGAGCTCTATGGAAACTTCAGCCATACTTTCAGATATTGCTAGGCTCATCTGGCTTTATTCTGTTTCAGCATCTTCTGCATTCCACAAAGCAATGCAACTGTGTTAAATATTTGATGTCTGGATTTGGTTGGATTATTTGTCTTTCAAAGCCATACGAAAGCAGTAGAATGAATTTGACTAACCCACCTTCTACTAAAAGTTCAGTCAGCATGGCAATTGTTGGACATGCTGTGGTCCTTCAATATCCAAAAGGCAACAGATTTCTCATAGTGGCTTCCTATTTTTATTTTTATTTTATTTAAAAGGACTGAGCTTTTGAAATAAAGCCCACAGGGAGTTTCCTCTATAGGAACCAGAGATAAGACTCACCCACTCTGTCACTGACAGCTGCCAGTTGCCCATTCTTCTTGGTACAGATGTATTTGCCATTGTTAGCTTTAAGGGCAACACGGCGACCCCGCCATTCAAGGTCGAACATAGTGCTGGTGGATCTGAGGAAACCAAAGCAGAAAGGAAGAGCAGAAAGGATTGATGGGAGAATCAGAAAGTAGGAACTATTCATTCCTTCCAAAGGTTTTGTTCTTTCTGGCCTATTAGACATTTATTACACATATAAATCCAACATACACCCACAAAACTCCACAAAACATGGGAGGGAGATCTATGGAACCTTGATACATTTGTAAAAATTGTATGTTGGATTGTATTGCCCATCTGCTAGTATTTACAAAGGTTTATCGTGCTTTATTGCAACTGTTTCCTGAAGGTTTGGATGCATTATTGCTCTACCTTAACTCATTGGCTTTGCAAGTTGTTCCTGTGGAGATCAAACTTGTCTCTCTAACCCTTTGCATTACATAGTCTGTTAAATAATTATTTTTTCCAAAGCACCAGAAGGCAAGACAAGAAACAATGGATGGTAACTAATCAAGGAGAGAAGCAACCTAGAACTAAGAAGAAATTTCCATCACTGGAAGCTTTCAAGAAGAGACTGGAACAACCACTTGTCTGGTATGGTATAAGGTCTCCTGCTGGAGCAGGGGGTTGGATTAGATGACCTCCAAGGTCCCTTTCTTCTATTCTGTTCTGTTCTGTTCCGTTCCGTTCCGTTCCATTCCATTCTACATTCTATTCTATTCTATTCCATTCCATTCCATTCCATTCAATTCCATTCCATTCTACATTTTATTCTATTCCATTCCATTCTACATTTCCACTACACTACACAGTCCACAGATTGAAAGAAGGTATGTGGGGTGGGGAATTTGCCTTACTAAATGAAAAATGACGGTCAGGAAACACATTTGTAATGCACATTCCACCCAAAGCAGGGGCTTGAGATGACACATATTGCTAAATATTTTCCTTTTTCTTTGGCCTGATTCCATTGAATTGTAGCATAAAAGCATCCAGGCTATTTTCAGGGGCAGAAATAGGATTTTCCTAGATGTGACAAATCTCTATAAGGCGCTTCAGGGAATTTCAGTGCTTCGTTTCATTGCCAAGTCTTATCCAGCCCTAGTCTTTGAATAGAGGTTCAAGTCGTTGAAGAAGAATAGGGAAAAAATTATTTAGCGTCTACATCAGGGGTAGTCAACTTTGGCTCTTTTATGACTCGTGGACTTCAATTCCCAGAATTCCTGAGCCAGCTGGCTCAGGAATTCTGGGAGTTGAAGTCCACGAGTCATAAAAGAGCCAAAGTTGACTACCCCTGGTCTACATATATGTTTCCAAGAGTTAATCCCACTCGCTGTTAAATATTATAATTTTAATCTAATCTACTTTTGTCCAGTTTTAGCCTGCGACCTGGAGCTCATGCTTGCCTGGATTAGAAAGTTCTTAAATGTTCTTGCTTAGAAGAAGTGTCACATGTTAAAGGGGAAGTAAGGGCACAGTTGGAGGAGGAGAAGGCAGTGAAGCTGTTGCTGGATCACCCAGATTCTAAAATTAAAAACAGCTAAAAACAACCGAGAAGGTGGTGCTTGTTCTTTATTGTATCAAAATGAGGACGCTGAGAAAAGATGTTATTCTTTTCCCTCATGTTGTTTTCCCAAACTAAATTATCTTCCTGAAAATATTATTTGCCCCAGGGAATGGGGAAGTAAGAGAAATATATTCAAATACCCACATGGATTTCTACTGAACAAACAGCCGCTTCTGAAAGGGATTTTTTTTTTAACCAGGAAATTATAAGGGAAAAGTCTGACCCCGTTCACTGCAACCCTAGTCCCATTCTCCCTCTCTTGAGAGTGCTTTTAATTTCTCAGCATCCCAGATCTTCCACAGATTTGGTTATGTGGTCTAAAGATGCCATCGCCAGATTCTCCAATCTGACTATTAAAAGTTCTCAAGCTACTGAGAAAACATTTCAGTAAAATAGTAATAACAATCAAAAGCATTCCAGACTTAACAATTGTTGACAAGAAAGACAAGAAAGTCTGGATAATGGATGTGGCAGTACCTGGAGACAGCAGAAGAGAAGAGAAAGAACTGGAAAAAGTCACAAAATACCAAGACCCACAAACAGAAGTAGAACAACTATGGCAAAAGAAAGCAATGATAATACCAATAGTGATCGGTCCAAAACCATTGGACCATCACTTGAATACCACCATTGACAAAATCACCATTACTCAAAAATTACACAAAAGGCAATTTTTCTTGGAATAACTTAAATTCTGCTATATCTTTAACACCATCAAAACACCAACACCTGCCTATCCCAGGTCCTTGGGAAGGACTTAATAGATGGATAAAAATGCCAAATCCAGTCTGAATATCTGGCTGACTGTGTAACAAACTATAATAAATTTAATAATTTATTAAATTTATAAGATGCCCAATCTTCAATGGCTCTGTGGCTCACAACCATCAATTAATCAAGCATACAAAACAAACAGTAAAAACAATGCAGACCAATGCAGAATATAGGAAATTAGATTCTGCAGAAGAGAATTATGAAATTAATTCTGATCAAGCAGTTGAACTATTTCAACCTTCCACCAACTGACTGGCTGTTATTTGTGTAGAAGCAGATGAACATTTCGTACAGGAATAACTTTTTAAAAACACCCACACCATCACATGTCCAACCCTGGATTCTCACATGAGGTGTCTGTGTGTGTGTGTGTGTGTGTGTGTTTTCAAAGAGATGGACTCATTTCCATAGGGCGTCTTTCAACCTATTCCATTGTTACTTGTTTGCCAAAGTTACTGGTTTGGGCAGGGGAGAGAGAGAAGCACAGAGACTGTATTAGAACAATTGCTGCTGGAAGGAGGAAGGGACATGTTCTTGAGAAACAGCAATTATTTAAATGCAAACTCTGCAGAGGAAGATAAATGGTGGAGCAGATGCCAAAAGCAGCATCTTGCCATCATGGCACAAGCTTCCCTCCTTTTGCACAGGCACATTTACTCTATAGGTCTGCAAAAAAAGAGACAGAATCTGCTTTGTGATGGTGCAGTGTTGTTTTTGTTGTTTTGATGAAAACCTACAGTAGCTCTTTGCTAAACCTGGTGCCCATTTCTCCCCCAAATTAGTTCTTCGTTATGATGTATAGTATACACAATGGAGTCATTTCTGAAATCCTGATTACTTTAGGGCAAGACTGTGCAATCTTCTTATGCTTAGGGGTTAGAGACCATGTTACTGCTGGAGACTAGGTGCTTTGCTTGCTGTTGCCATCACCAAAATGGCTGCCTAAGGAGGTGGTGAATAATCCATAGTGATGTCTCCCTCACAGACAGACATGGAAATATATTTCTTTTGAACCATATTTAGTCCACCAAGCATAGGTTATTGATCCCTGCTTTAGGGACCTACCAGCAAAATGAAGACACAGCACAACTCACATTTCAGTAGCCGTGGCTTGAATCCCTCCATGTGCCACCAAGGTCCAGTAGTTGCCTGTGTTGGAATGGAAAATGCACTTCTTGGTTTCTTTGTCAATTTGCATCTGGAAGGTTTCATGGTGTGTCTCTTCATCCTGATTGGCCGAGACATTAACACCTAGAAGGAAGAACATATTTTCAAATCATTTCGTTACCAAATATCCCAATTCACCTCTGATCGAGCTTGTGAAAGAAGATGCCAAGATCCTTAGAAAAGCACTCAAGCAGTGGTACTAATTTGGATAACTGGAGCTTGTAAATAATTATTTAAATAATTAAATAGTATAATATGCTTTATTAACCACCCATTTTTAGTAGTAATCAGTACAAATTTTATATACAATTTATAATCTCCTCTCAGTGTGCAACAGGCTCAATTCTGCCCACCTTGAGAAAAGCCTTCAAGACCACCAGGCCCAGTTGAATGAAGGTTCCTGGTTCATTGTTCTATTATGTTGTGGGGGGTACATTTACATTTGTTTGTTGTTTATTATAAAACATATTTATTTGTTTATTGTTATATGATGTCCTTTTCTGTCTCTTGGAGTATGTATTTATTTAACCAATTTATAGGGCCAGCCATCTAACAATGGGCAAAGAAAAAGATAAAAACCATAATTGTTCAAACTAATTAAGAAGAAAAACTGAGTCGAGGCTCTTATAAACATCTAATTCAAGCATATCACCTACACCAGGGGTAGGCAACCTTGGCTCTTTTATGACTCGGGGACTTCAACTCCCAGAATTCCCATGGCTGGCTCAGGAATTCTGGGAGTTGAAGTCCACAAGTCTTAAAAAACCCAAGGTTGCCTACCCCTGACCTACACTATTCCCAAACTCTATTAACATCCTGGCCTCAATGCTTTGGAGAAAAGTCAGATCTTCATGGACCTCTGGAAAGCCAGCAAGTTTGGAGCTGTCTATAGTAGCTTTGAGAGGATGCTGCTCTATAAGATAGACACCATGACAGACAAGACATGCTTCCAAGGGTGCACCAGGTGACAATTTTACTACTTTATTGAAGGAACGTACACTACAGCATGCCTTTGCATTGCAGATAGGTAGTCCCACAAACAGTAAGGCCCCGTGCTACATAGGTGATGACCAACACCTTGAATTGCATCTGGAAGTCTACTGAGAACTAGAATAGTTCACATAGCAAAGGTGTTATGTGGATGTATCTTGGTATACCCAAAACTGAATTTGTGATTGCATTCTGGACCAGCTGAAGCGCTAAAAGATTTTCAACAGTAGCCTCATATACAACGTGTTGTAGTATGTTGCAGTGATCCAATCGGGCAATGACTAAGGTTTGAGTGACTGTGAGTAGTGTTTCATGATCTAAGAACAGGCATAACTATGTGCACATGAAATATTTATACAAAGGCTCTCCCAGCCACAACTGCCACCTGCTCCTCAAGATGTAAATCTAAGAGGAGTCCCAGAGTGTGCACCAACTCTGCCTGAAGCAAAGATGGAAAATCACTAGATATGAGGGGCCTTAAAACCCTGAGCTGCACATTCTCTTTCAGCTAGTTCTTTCCCATCCAGATCCATACCCCATCCAGGCACTGGGAATGTACCTTGATGGGATCATTTGGATAACCCAGAGCAGAGAGATGTAAGGTATAGGAACTATATTGATTATTTTGACCCCATGCCAATAGATTATCTTGCCCACTGGTTTCATGTAAATCTTACAGAGTGGAAAGAGAATTGATCTCTGTGCCGTCCCACAAAGCAGAAGGCTAGGGCTGGACCTTTCCCAAACTACTAACATTGACTGAAATCTGGAGGTCAGAGAACCACTGAAGAATTATTCCCCCCCTCCCCTTAGTCATGGTGCCCTCAGCCAACACAGAAGGATACCCAAAGCAAGTGAGGGATTAAGGAGGGCCAGGATGGATACACTATCTCCATCCTAGCAGCAGAGGCCATCCATATGTATAGTCAATACTGCCCTGCTAGTATATCCTGGCCTTAAACCCAACTGTAAAGGGTCCAAATCAACTCTGGGCAGCTCACTATCAATAAAACAATATAAACAATCAAAAAACAAAGAGCAATAAAACGATAAAGCTAAAAACCAAAAAAAACCTGGTGCCACAATTGCATTAGCCTGATGAAACACACATTCTCAACCCATCCTGACTTCCCGCTTTATTTAGGAGGAGAGCTAGATTTTAATGTTCTTAGGAAGGATAAAAGGTTAGGAGGCTATTGGATTTCATGAAGCAGAGCTGCAATTGAATCTGCCTCCTCCAGGGCCCTTTGGAGTATAAGCCTTTATAAGCTATAAGCCAAAAAGGAAAGGTTGGAGACTGGACTGAAATTGTCCAGTACTGCTAAGCTGAGTGATGACCGCTTGAAGAGTGTTATTCCCTGCTGAGTTCACATGACTCCTCGCTGAGGGTGGACAAAACACTGAGTCCAGAATTGATTTTTGCGTTCCTGGAGAGCCTTCAGATGGCTGTTTTTAGTTTGAAACAACTATTTCAGGCTCAAAACCTGCTTAATTCAGAATATTTTGTACATGTAGGTTCCTCACTAGCATTATAGTCATGCCAGATTTGGGGATTATATTTGCTGTCCCCAATCCTGAACATCTGAGAATAAATGGAATTGAAATCCTGGCGACAGAGAAAGGCTTGATTACCCAAATAAACCAATGTTACATCTAATAGAAAGCCTGCATGCTGATTATATTTGATATAATATCTTCCCTCTCATGATCTTGTTTTACGTACTGTTATTATTTTAATGGGTTTGCAAAATGTTTTAACTCCTAGTTTTATTATATGCCACCTAGAGTCACTGTGAGGGAGATGAGTATTGGTAACCAAGTTACCCAATATGTTTGTTCTTAATCCAAGTCCAACTTTCTTGGCATGATAAATAGTAACCTAGTTCTCAATGCTGACCATAATAACGAAGGCTTTGTACAGGCACCAGGAGTGCTATGTCAAAAGCCCATCGTGTCCACTTGCACAACAGGCTTCTCCACCTGATCCAAAACGCTTGGTAGTCAGTGCTCCAAAAGATGGAGAATTCTGAAGAATAGTTTTTTATTAACAGGATAATTTTCTCATCAGTTCCAAAACTGCAGCCATCAGCCTAATGACACACCAGAATGAGGGCAAGTAGATATATACTGTACCTGCTACTTATCTTCACGGAAAGCATAAAGGAAGGTCTTTCATTACTCTTGTACTCAACTACAAACGTCTACTGTATATACTTGTAAGGAGAAAGGACCTGTTCAATACAGCATAAACTTGGAAGGAGGAAGGACCCATTCAATCCTGTTCCACCTGCCAAAGCTGACCACCCTTAACATCCCCATGTTAGGAGGTCATTGAAAAGGAAGTCTGCATGCAAGCATTAAGGAGTGAAGCTACTTTACCAATATTGCTGCAGCCTTTGCCCAATAACAATAGCTACATTTGCCAGCAGGCATTAGCCCAGCTTCTGAAGTGCTCAAATGTAAATTAAGAGCAGGAGCACATTGCCGGCATTAAAAAAAAATGCAGGTGACAGACATCTTGCACTATTGAACAAGAAAATGTCACAGATGCAATCGGGGACCATGACTAAGAGTTGTTTGTTTTTATTTTTTTTATTTTTTTTAGCAGTGCAGGAAACAGAATACAAAATGGAATCCTGATAGCATCTCCCGTGGCTAGATGTTTTATACTGCATATCTGCTGACAGTCATCGGACCAAATAGAAGCTGAAAGAACCTAAGAGATGCTGAGACGAGGGAATGTGACAGGCAGCCGGAGGCTCCTTGAAATGTTAAACGACCTGGCAAAATTTTGCAAATTACAGTGAACACAACAACTGACACAAGGGAAACTGAATGGGAACGGTCAGAAAATCACTGGCAAACAATAGAGTAAGATTAAAGACAGAATATTCAAGATCACTGCACTCTGGTTGTGGAGCCTAGGAGAACAATTTGGGTTTCCAAGGGGTGCCTCAGAGAGAACACTAGGAGTTGCATTGTTATAACACCAGCAGCCTCTCACATATGCTAGAGAGCCTTATCTAGATGGGAAGGATATTCCAAAGAGTATAAAAGAACCGTAGTTTGTGATGTTTGGGAGGAGACTGCAAGTAAAATTAGATCATAAACCCGGAAAGCACTGCTGAGTTCCCTAAAGAGGCTTTAGAGCAGTGGTTCTCAACCTGTGGGTCGGGACTCTATTTGGGGTCGAACGACCATTTCACGGGGGTCGCCAAACAACGCAGCCCGCCATTTTTTTCCCCTTTTCCTTAGCTGTGCTACTCCCTTTTATTCTATTGGCTTTTGAAAGCCAATAGAATAGACTCTCTTGAATAGAGTCTAATTCTATTGGCTTTCAAAAGCCAATAGGAATTGTCCAGGCTGTCTCTGCCCTGCTGAGCCCGCCAAAAGTCCCATTCTGCAAACGGTGCTGCACCAGTTGAGTAGTCCTCGACTTACGACCGGTTGAGTAGTCCTCGACTTACGACCGGTTGGGGGTCGCGGCATTAAAAAGGTTGAGAACCACTGCTTTAGAGGTTGTGGATTATGATGTGTACATTGAGCTACCTGGGTAAATATTTCTGAGTGGCAAATTCTTTAAGCAGTGCCTTTCTCTATAAATCCAGTGATAAGAGTTTGGTAGGAAAACAGAGCTGATAACAACCTAAATTTTATTGTGGGGAAGGGAAGTGGGGGGATCTGCAGACTAAAGCTTTACAGATCATTGGGAATATGGATGATGGGTAGTGTGAGATGAAACATGAAGTGGTAAACTACATCCTCATATTCAAAGAGGGATGAGTGTAATATTGGGGATGGGATTGTTGTATTATTTCCACTCTCTGAAGGACAAGCAACAAAAGGAGGCTTGCATTTCCCTAAAATGCAATGTCAATATTGGAGAAAGGTTAAAAAAATCTAAAGGCAGGAGAAAGTCTGCCTTATAAATGTAGATTGCTATTCTAATTTTTGGCAATCATACTCTGTTTATATACAAGATTTCAGGTAGTCGTAAACTACAGTGTCATTTTGACTCTTACAGATTAGCTGATATTGTACAATATTCTCAGAAAACTGGTCACAGTTTGTATCAAGCGAAGCCTTTCAGGGAA